GGTTGTTCTACCCTGTTCACAAAAGCTCATCCTGCTGGAATTCATCCTCCTGAAGATCGCCCTGTTGGTATTCACCCTGCTGAACCTCGTCCTCTTCATCTTCCTCCTGCTGCTGAAGCTCCTGCAGCTGCTGCATTGCGTCGCCATATGTATCCTCTGCATCCGCGGGTGTAGGGACAGGCGTGGGTAGGCGGCGTGCGGGAGTGGGTTCATCGGCAGGTACAGGCGCACGTGGCTCCTCGATAATAGGCACAGCCACTTCCGGTTGCTGTACTCCATTTGGCTGAACGTTTGTTGCTGCGTTCCCATTTCCGTTTCCGTTCCCATTCTGGCCGATGAAGTTAAAGTTCAAATTGATATCCTGGTGGTTGAGTGCCTGGACGTTTTGGGACAGTTGGAAGACGGGCTGAAAGACAGGCTGGACGGGACGCGAAACCGTAGCGATGGGAACATTTTGCGCGACGCGGTTGGGGTTGCTGCCGGTTAGGTGGCTGGCCGGAGGGTTGGTAAAGCTGTCTTGTAGGCCATATTCCACGGCATGGCCGTTGATGGTGTTGCCAGAAATCCCATTGAAACCGTTGGCAAAGGCATTGTCCATGACACCCCCCAAGCCTCCCCCCACACGCATGTTGTTGTCATAGAAGATCGTGTTGTCAATAAAAGGGCTGTATTTAATGCCGTTAGGCAAAAAAAAGCCCATGACATCGCCGTTCACACCGTTCTTGTTGCCTATGTAGCCGTTGGCCGGGTGGTTGCCAATGCTGGCGCCGTTGATGCCATTGTTCTTGGGAAACCCAAAACCATTTCTGTTATTGCTTTGGTAGGCCCGGGGCGCTGAGCCTGCAACAGAACCAAAGGTAAATCCGTTGCCAACCTGACTGTTGCCGAACGAAAAGGCATCGCCATCCAAGCCGTGCCCAAACCCATTGCCGAGCCACTCTGTGCCAAGCATCTGCGCCCCAGAGAAAGAACCCATGCCGATGCCCATGTCCATGCCCATGTCAGCACCCTGGTTGACAGCATTGTTCGAGTTGATGACCGGAGCAGGGCTCATCACTCTGGTGCCGGTAGTGGCACGGCGCGTATAGGCCAGCGGGGGCCCCTCATTCCTCTGGTTTTGGGCCGGTACCAAAAACTCCTGATGCTGCTGTTGGTACCGAGGCAACTGCTGGGACTGCTGGTGTTGCTGATCCTGTTGCTCCCACGAGGGGCGGTTGGTGATTTGGGCGGACAGAGAAGACAGGTTACCCAGGTTTGTTACGATCCAATCGTTGAGCCTCATGTAAGCTAGATAGATTGACCAATCAGATAGGACCCGGGGTCCCGAGTCTACGGGACCACGGGACGGACCCGATGTCCCGGGCTTTCGGGACCACGGGACGGGGTTGAAGACCAGTATATAAGAAGGCCTCCTGGCCTTCGTTATACCTGGTTCTTCAGCAAGCAATAGCTATCACAACCTACCAGTACCTTTTGGCTACTACTCCGTTACTCTATTGTTCTATCCCAGCGATAATACTCCTGTGCTTGTAACGGTTCGTCACAAGGTTGTGGCGTTTGTTGGCGTTGCCATTGTCGTTAGTATACTCGTTGTCTTCATGGGCGTGCTTTCGCGGGTTGGCCTTCGAACCCCGGACTTGAGCTGCAGCAGCATCCTTAATGGCCTCAACGGTGTTCAGACGCCGTTCCTCGTCGAAATCCTTTGCATCTTGTTGATTCTTCTTGAGAAGCCTCTGAATGCGACCCTGTATTGCAAAGAAAAACTAGCGGAAATTCCAGGAGCACGATTGGGCTGCCAGGCGCCGACTGGGCCAGAAATATATATTTTTTTTAAAAAGATATTAAAAAAATTGAAAAGGACAAACGTCAGTAAAATTTGGCGGAAGCGCTCTCGCATTCCGTAGAAAAACTTGTGCATAGTAATTGTCGACAAATCCATTTCGTGGGAATATCATAGCAATCTATCGGTATGTTGCCGCCGACAGTAATTCCCATAAGATTGAGAGAAATTTCTGAATCGAGGATATTTCGAAAAGATCGAGGGATATTAGATCGAGGATATCTCAAAGAGACCGAGGAGTATCAGATCGAGGGCTTCGGTGGTATCGAGTTTGTAATTTTTTTCTTTTCGGGTACCGGTAGCTTCGTAAAGTTGTAATACCATATAATGTTTCACACGTCGGATTCGCGAAGGTGAGATTTTGGTGACGACCGCAATCCTGATCCAAGGCGACGGCCAGGTTTGGCACTAACAGAGACAGTAACATCAGTTGATCCGAGTAGGCAAGAAACATTGGAATGCAACTTGGTCAACTGGAATGTGCCCCTGGGCTGAGTGACTGGAATGTTGCAGGTAAGGAAGCCGAGTGACCCCTACGAGAACGCCATGCGTTGGGGGAAAAAAGCAAACAGATGTTGAGCGACAATCACGTAAGCAACACACCTTGGTATATGGTTCACTTTTAGAGCCGAGATATTTGGTCAGACGGGGTATATCGTATTCGGGCTTCGGTCCATTGACGAACATAGCGCACAAGAGCTTATATTCGGCCATGATGACGCCAACTGGGGTTTTGAAGGCTTTAGGTTCCTCTGGCGCCATCGTGGCAGGTGTCTTCATGCTGTTGAGGGTTAGTTGTCGCCAGTTATGGTGTTGTGAAGTTGAAAAGGACTTGAGGCCTGGCTCGGGCAAATTCGAATCAACAAAGCAGCGTGATCGGCTTGTCCACGGTTGAAAATCGAAGGCGACTGAGTTATCTGAGGAGCCAATGAGGATAGCTTTCGGGGCGTCAAGTATAGATTGCTGCTGGCGGTGTCATCAATACCTCGCGTGGGCTGCCTGGCGAAGTATTCTCTTCTGTCGATTCTGTCTTTGTCACTGCGGTCGATGAGGACTCGAGGCCTGATTTGGTCAAGTTGGAATCAAATAGATGATCTAGAAGATTTGTAAATCAGTCAAGAATGGAGCGTCCCGGGTGGTTGAGCGATACATGGTGGAAAACTTGTGAGGTGGTTGATGGTAAATTGCTCCTGTAGGTAATAAGCTTTGCGCCAGTTGCTTGGCTAGCCTATTTGATTTCTTCTTTCCGTTGTCGCTTGTTCTTGTTGACGTTGTTCGTGTCGTCAGGATCGTTGCTGCCGTTTTTGTTGCTGTTGTAGTCGAGGAGAAGGGCATCGAGGAAAATGGGAGTGTAAGGAAGAAGAGGAGGAAGTGGACAGATTGAAAACAGTAGGGGATTCAAGTGCTTCTTGCTGCTTGGCTTACTGCTTTTATTTTTTTCTGCCGCCGTTGTTGTTGCTTGCGGTAGTGTGGTTGCCGCGATGGCTATTTTTGTTGTTGAGAGAAGGATGAGGGCGACGAGGAAGAATTGGAGGGGCTGGAGGGGTTGGAAGAGAGGGAGGAGGAGGAAGTGGACAGAGTGAAGCAGTCAAAACTTCAAGAGCTTTTTCGTTGCTTGGCTTACTGCTTTTAATTTTCCGCTGCCGCCGTTATTGTTCTTTTCGGTGTTGTCGTTGCCGCCGTGAGTATTTTGTTTGGGAGAAGGTTTGGGAGAAGGAAGAGGACGACGAGGAGGAGGGGGAGGAAGTTGGAGGGGTTGGAGGAGAGGGAGGATGAGGAAGTTCCAACGGATGGGGACTGCCAAATCTTTGGTTTCAGGATTTTCCCACAGGACCGCCCGCTTGGTGACGGTTACTTGTCGTACAAAGTCAATCCTACGGCTGCAGTACCTTCACTGGGGCGTTCAAGAGGACGTCAACGAGCCAGAAAACCTCAAGTTGGCGGTACTGGAGTGCCTAAGAGCTGACCAAGAGCCGCTTCGCAATGTTAGGATTGCTGGAATCGACAAAGCTGAGCGTGAACTGGTTGATATTGCGCCTTGGGAGGACTCTCGAGTTGTTGAATGCTAAATCCAGCCTTGGTAGAGCGGTTCTTCGGGCTTGCATCAGGCGTGGGCTGGTCTGGATCACTCTTCCTAGAGCGCTCGCGAGGACTGGTATAGTTGCGTGTATCGTAAGGGCGGCTACGAAGCTACCAGGTCTAAGATCTGACCAGCAGGCTAGCAGTGAACGCCCAAATCCAGCCATGGTAGTGTAGATCTTCCGACTTGCGCTGGGCGTGAGCTGGTCTGGGTCATTCCTCGAGGAGGATTGTCGCGCGTAGGTATGGTTACGTGAACCGAAAGGGCGGCTACGAAGCTACCGGGAGCAAATCTTCGTACTTGCGTTGGGCGTAGGTTGGACTGGTCTGTAGTACTTCTCGAGGAGGATCAACGAAGTTTGGTTATTGTCACGTGTATCAGAAGCGCGAGTAGAAAGCTGGTGGTCCTGGTATCCGGCTAGGAATGAACGTCATGGCGGCCGTATCAGAAGGAAGGTGGCCAAACGCTGTAGGCTGCTGGGCTGTGGGTGTGGCTTGAGGGAGGTAGTGACAGGTGGCTGGCAACGGTAGGTCGGGCCGGGCGGTATCGAGGACTGACGGGCCAAGCCGGCGGGCGAGCAGACGAGCAGTGACCATGATGGCTTGTCATGATCCACTGCCTTGTACCTGTAAGCTATGGTGTACGAGAAGAGCATACATAGAACGCAAGCAAGACACGCAAAAATTGCAAAACAATAGGATACACAGAACAGAGAGCACAGGCCTGGAGGAGTTCGACCTCTCGAGACTGTGTAATGTCAAGTAAATCCGGGCGAGCGACACGGGCGGTATCGAGGAACTGACGGGCCCGGCGGGCGGGCGGGCGAGCAGACGACCAGTGACCATGATGGCTTGTTGTGATCCACCGCCTTGCGCTTGTAAGCATATGGGGAAGTGAACGGGCAGCGCAAGTAAAACACAGGAAGACACGCAATAACTGCAAAGACTGGATAGACATGATTGAGGACAGCAATCATGGATGGGTTTGACGGAGAAGACGTACCGGAGGCGATGCTTCGGAGCAGCGTGGAAAGGCCAATTTCTCCTTGACGTTGTTGAGAGAGAGAACATGCCAAGCCCAAAAAATTTCATCCGAACTCCGAAAAGATCGGAAACACTCGACAGGGTGGCACCTACCTCCCGGCAACTCACCATAGCCTTTCGTGGGCACCATGGAGAGAAACAGGAAGATGCATACCCACGAACTTTTGCGAACTGGAACAAGGAGAAAACATCGAGTGTCTTCGTCAAATGGCCCTATTCCCAGATCTGGAACGTTAGCCAGTCCTTGCCTGCACACAGCGAGATAAGGGAATTATCACCAAACGCATGGGCACGATAGGACGTACCTCCCTAGTAACCATCATTCATTATTTTCGTTGCGCTGTAAGCTATAATAGTACAATGGCACTTGCCAGCAAGGATAAAACAGCCGCTATCCATCAAAGCAGAGGACAAGAGAGGTAGGTAAATACTCAAGCAAAAGACCGACCCGACCGCCCATCATCGTGAAACCAAGAAACCAGACATCCATCCACATTTATCCCAATACTAGAAAGTAGGTTTTGTAGCATCTGTCAAACTGTAGGTACGTATCCAAAGCCCTTGAACCAAGCCATAAAAGGAGATAAATGGTAAAAAAGAGACAGGCAATAGAAACAAAAACAACGAAGGGAAAGCAAGGCCATCCTATATCTGTATCTCATTACGGATTGTGTTCAGTAGTGACCGGCACGCACTGCCTCCGCCATCAACACTGATACTCCTGAGCTTCACAGTCCTCCTGCTTGATCATTCCGGTATGACTTTCGTGTTCCAGCATGGCAGCGTGTACTTGAAGTTGTTCAGCAGCATGCTGTTCATTCTGCTGGGAGTCGCTCACGGCATAAGCAGTCGCGTAGGTATCCAGCTCATATCCCATTCCGTAGCCAGCGTAGGCAGGTAAAGTGGGCTGCCAGGATCCAGTGGTGGTGGTGGCGGCCGAGCCGGTGTAATCAAAAGGAGTGTCGGTATGGCCGAGAAGCATGTCGGTGGGACAAGCCTGGCCTACCGCCGGAGTATAAATGTGTGGTGAAGTCGTCAGAGCATCGGAGTCGCTGCAGGGAGTGAGGTGACGCCATTGCATCCTTGGTTGAATGTCGGGCATAGGCGTAGCCATGGAGGTTGGCGTCGGGTAGATGTTGTCGAGAGATGATGGTTCGGGATGTATGAAATCTTGGTCGTCCTTGAGAGGCGGGGATGGCAGCGAAGTCTGGGAGGATTGGCTCTTGGACTCTTCCCCTCCTTCCTTCCCCTTCTCAACCTTGACTGCCTTCGTCTTTGGCCTTTCTCCATCCTCCTTCTTGGTCTTTGTAACTCGGTTCTTGTCGGGATTCGTACGGTTTCTCGGTCGGGGTTCGGTGCCCAACATGGAGGCTCGGAATCGCGAGTAGCGCATGCGGGCGGCATGGCCGTTCGATATCTTTTGGGAGAGAAATGGGCTGGCGGCTACTTCGTTCCAGTCGATCTGTATAGACATTTCAAGTCAGTCGAGGCGATTCATGCAGCCACCTGGATTATGCTGATGGAAAACGAGAACTGGTAACTTACGTCCTTCAGAGACTTTTGCTGGAGGATAGCGAAAAGGAACCTTGCCATGGCATTCTCGGTGGCAGACATGTTGGCGACGACCGGACTGGCTTTCCCTTCCTGATGTCCTGAGGATGTCGTCCTGTGGTTTCTGGAAGGTGGTTTCAAAGCCAGCCAACGGCGAGAAAGGGGAACTATGGGAAAACGCGAGGAGGGGGCAGCCACAATATGTATTGGCCGCTACAAGTGCTGAGACCTGTCCAACCACTCAGCAGCAAGGCAGCCTTGGCTTCGGTCAGATTTACCCACTGTAGCCGGTGCGCGGGCGTTGCTGTGGTGTAGGGGCGTGAGTCAAGACAATGTAACTCGAGCGATAGCGGACAGGGTGTTGAGGGTGTGGATGAAGCATGATACTGGGAGACAGGGCTGGCTGTGGAGGGGAAGGGGGGGAGACGATAGGTTTATGTGTGTTTCACCAAAAACGGTAGGAAAGTCAACACGGTCGAGGATCGTTGCTTGTCGGAGAGGCAACGTGCGTACAATCGTGTCAACAAGGTATGGAGGCACTATCATCGTAAATCCCGTCATCAATAGCAATGACCGGAACCGTGTATCGGCAGCAATCCGCCACGAATGGCCTCTTCCCAGGCTCCCTTTCCCTGCGAGTAGAGCACAGCCAGTCACTCCACGACCATTGAGATAAAGGAAATATCGGGGGAAGCGGCTGGAATGGGTGCGTGGTGCATGAAAACTTGTTTGCAAAGGGCAGCATTGAGTGGTTCAATGGGTAGCAATCAGAGTTAGAAAAGGGCAGATCCTGACATGGAACGAGGCACCAGCCATCATAGGCCACAGTTCGAGCGAGGTATCAGTATTATTCAGGTAAGGTAAGAAAGATATCGCCATCCACTAGGGAGAGAGGCACTAGCCCACACACACCATCCCTCCCGTTGCCCTGCCAAAGAAGAAAGGTTGTTTGCTTTCAACTATCCCGAATTGGAAAAAGAGGCAATATAGTTACAATAAGAAGGAGAGAGAAACGGGAGGGAGACGCGACATGGTTGCGAATCAAGTACGACATTCAAACAAGTAAGAAACGGGAGACAAGGATTAAATGGGTAAGAGATGGTGTGTATGGAACAAAAAGCACTTTACGCGGGATATGGTGACGCCGCGTCGCCTCGTTTCGATTTTTATTCGTTTTCGCGATTTCCCCATCCAAGGTCGTGTAAAGTGGTGGTGTCACTGGTGTGTGTGTGTGGTGGGGTTGCAGCGGACAGGACGCCATGCGCGTCGGGAATGAGATCCAGGGGACGGCAAGAGGAAAAAAAGGCAGTGATACAGTGAGACTATAATGTGAGTCACTCGACTCCGAGTTGAACGAGAGCAAAACGGAGGCTTGTAACCGGGCAGAGTGAGAGAATCGAACGGAAAAGGGCTGATCAATGGAAGGGGGAAGAATGAAAGCTGAAATGTCAAAAGGTGGGCACTGCAGGATTGACAGAGAGGCAGCTGCCAGAGATGCCTGCAGTGCTGGTTGTTCCTGTCGGTGTGTCGGTACGGGCACCCTCCCTTTGGAAAGATACCAGCGTTGTACTAGATAGAAAACCGGAACTTACAAGCACGCCGAAGACTTGAGAGTCGTCACTCGCCGGCGTCGCCGCTGATTCTTCCTTCTGATCTTGTTGCCTGGACAAAGTTTGCAGTAAACAAAAGAGAAAAGGACCTCGTCAGAATTAGACCCGATGACTGCAGAGTCATAAACTATTTTCTCCCATCTCGCCGGAAACGGACAGACAGGCGTGGATGGTTTCAGAGGGTGGCATCAATCAAGGGGGCGATGGCGGGACACTGAGAAGGTGAAATGGAATGTTGGGGAACTTGGGTCGCGGGACGTCGGAGGTCCTGGAAAATTACGTGGTAACAGCGCGTCACAATCGGCACTGTGGCTGGGCATCCGCGCGATGCTGGCGCCAAGTCACTTGATCAGGCGATCCACTCAAAAAATGTCACAATTTTCCAGCCCCTGTCCTGTGTGTTCTTGCCTTTTTGTCCAATGGTCCAAGCTCTTTCGAGTCTCTCCGCCGTCCTGCCTGTGTTGCCGTCTTGCGTGCGAGTATCCGTGCCACGGCCCAGGCAGAAGAAGTGTCTTGGGCGCCTGAGGCAACAACGCTTCTGCCATCTCGTCCAGTGTTACAGTATGCAGTATGCACGGACCCCCGCAGTTTGCTCCTGTCCCAACCAATCACAAACCAGATACGTGCTACCGTTCCACAAAATGGGAACAATATTGTCCAATCACGTCATTGGATGCCGGGCTCGGTTGAATGTTGTAGCCGTGGCTGATTTGGTTTGGGAACGTGAAGGGGACACACTGAAAACCCCATCCTGCCTTAGCAGACCTTAGCAATTTCGCCGTCCACCCTATCTCGTTCGTTCGACTCTCACCCAAACCAATTCATGTCTGCTGTTCCGCCCAGCCCATCGCAGTTGTTACCACTCGATCGCCTCGCCCGCGCCTCTACCATCGCGTCCCTAACAGACATGAACAAAAACTGGAACGACCGGGCCGACAAGGACCTGTTCTTCACTATTCTTAATGTTAAGAATATTGGGGTCATCAGCGGCTCGGAATGGATTACCATCGGCAACACCATGCGCGCCATGGGCTATGGCTTTACCAACGAGGGATGCCGGTAAGTGCTTTTGTTGTCGTGTTATGAGTGTTATCTCCATAACAACAGCCTCAACCCAAGTCAACAAGGAGCTTGACTCGCGTGCCAAGTTACCTCTATCAATTACAGACTATCACTCTATATCCTGTATCTGTGTCAATGTTGATCACTGGCATTGTTGCTGTCTTCTCTCTCTCTGTTGTCTTGTGTACCTCCACCAACGTGTCGACATCGACATCGATTGTCTTTACCTGTTTTGTTTGCCTCGAGACTGCATACACATATGTCGAGTTCTTGTGTAGACAAACCAGGTTGACAACTGGCCATTGCTACCACACTATGCATTGTTCATCCCTTAACAATCCCCAACATGATCTCCCCATCTTGTTGGGTTGACATCGTGGATCGACACATCCATCATCTATCATGTTCCCTATTGACTACTCACTAACACCGCCATGGCATGCCTTAACCGGTTTCCTTTGCACCCCAATATACATACAAAGAACCATGAGCTAACATGCCCACGGCAGACAACACTTCCAAGGCCTTCGCCGCGCCCAGCACAAGAGCGAGGGCGGCGCTGCAACCGCCTCTCCTGACCCCAACCGGAGGATGGATCCGACCATGAACCCCATCACGAGGAGGCCGGGACCTGGACGTGGTCGTCCCAAGAAGCAGCAGAACACGGCCCAGGGACAGTCTCCCACCAGCACAGCTTCGGTCTCCGAGACGGGTACTACCGGTCCTAGTGTCACCCCGATTCCTCCCCCGGTTGTCCCTGGTGCCCCCAGTCAGAGCACCACCGCCATCCCCGTTCCCGTTGTTCCCGGGATGCCCGCCCCGCCTGCTGGTATGCATTCTGCCGCTGCGGCGCAGGCTCAAGCTCACGCCCAGGCCCAGCAGGCCCACGCACAGCATTTTATCCAGGCTCAGCTTCAGGCTCAGGCTCAGGTTCACGCTCAGCATGCTGCCCGCACCCAGCAAAACGGACGAGGCGGAAATCAGGCTGGCGGTCAAGGCCCGGCCAACCAGCAGGGTGTCCAAGCTCAGTCTGGTGGGCAGCAGTCGGCGAATGACGATGATGTGGCTGTGGACCCTAGCCTCGAGGACGGCGACGACGACCAGCACCAAAGCAAGCGACGCAAGGTGGAACAGGACCCTCTGGACGACGCGGCGGTGATGAATGCCTTGGCTGCTCATAACGACCCAGCATCAAACGCCGCCCACTTTTCGCCAGAGTGAGTTGATCTTTACGTTGCCCCTCCTGTCTCTAACGCCTCACCTAAACCTATGCCGTTGCGGCGCTAAGATTTCCTTCAAGCTTCTACGAAGAGGCTTAAGAAGGTCCCGAGTTCGAATTCAGGGAAGCAGCAGTTAAAGGGAAGGTGGATGATGGGCGTTTCTGGTTGTGTTTAATTGGGATTCTGCGTGTTTCGGCTATAGGTATCATCTGGTCCCGGTCCGGTCCCCCCTCCAAACATGTTAGGAGGTGGCAGTTATGGTGTGTGTTTTAGTTTTCGAGCAGGTATCGAGTACGTCTTTTGACGTGTTGACGATGGTATTTCGCCGCTCCGACTTTGCTTTTCAGCATGGTTACGAGCATCATACTTACATGGCAATGGTTCACGGATCTTGCTGCGAGTTTCGGGGCCTGAAATATTCATTTCGGTATAAGTTACCTCTTTCTATTATTTTCTCGTTTCCTATTTGTTATCTTTGGTGAAAAGTGATAGCGCTGTTTCATGTCGAGTCCATGTTTCCCTCCACTACCCCCTCTTTTTCGTACAGTCCAATACTGGTTTGCTTGTTGGTTCGAAATCTCTGGTCAACCTTCCTATATATTTAATATCTGATTGATCCGCTTCGGTCCATAACTCAGGTATGGTCTTACTTTTTCTGTGCCATATTGAACTTTGCTAATGCCTTGCCAATCCGTGCCTAGCCATTTTGTTTTATCCTTGTGAGATTTGGGACAGTTTGTGACGTATCTCGTTCTGTGTGTTGGGAGTACTGACTTGGAGCTAACAAACAATCCAGCGTTAAATTGCATTTATTTTGCATAAGTTGCTCTCTCTGTCATGGTCTCACGTTATGTTTTTCACTCGTGGTGAAAAGCGGTACCGGTGTTCGCATCGAATCGAAAGTTTCGTCCCCCTCTTTCGCGTATTAAATGCGACCACAATCTCAAACTCTCCCGTCACCCCTCCTCCCTACACCTTTCACGATTTATCAACTTTATAGGATCAACTTCAACTACCTTGCGTTCTTCAAGCCCTCAAACCAAATCGCAACTTACGCTGAACTCAACAAGCCAGCAGTCGAAAGCACCGCATTCCTCACTCTTCACCCAACAAGACTCGCCAACGCCAACATGTCCACCGCCGACGAGACCTCCAAGGATGGCAAGTGGAACAACGACGCTCACACGGCCCTCTGCACCGCTCTCGCCGAGGCCCTGATTGCTGCTGGAAGCAGTGCCGCGCAGAAGAAAGAGCTCATCATGGCCGTCATGAGAGCGAGTGGCCAAAACGGATTTACCTGGGAGTCAATTCGGTAAGTGGGACTTGTGTGCTTCTATTAGACCTCCGTCCGCACCAGACCGCGTCTTGTTTGTTTGTATTTTACCAGCAGCGCGTCCCGTCCTTTTCTCCCACCACTTAGCCCTAGCACCATCTCTCCGCCTCATCCACAACCACCACAAACACTTCAACATTTTATCCCACCACCACTCAGCACTTCCTTCGGAGAATTCATCGCAAAATGCCGCGTTGGGATGAGCAGACCCATATCGATCTGATGATCGTCCTCTACACGGCCTTGCAGCCCAGCCTGAACAAGGAGGTTCAGGATGCCATCGTGGAGGCCATGCGCAATAAAGGCCATCAAGACGTAGGATGGGATGCGCTCCGGTAAGCTACTCGCGGTGGACCTATTTGGTGCCACTTCACTCGCACAGTTTGATCGTCTTGTCTCGCCTAGTGGCTTGCAGACTCGACACTATATAATCCCTCCTTTGTTGCCTCTGGCTGCCTCCGAGTTCTTTTCCCTTTCCCCCAAACACCACAAGCATCAGCATCACCCACGCCTCAACCACAAAGACCTCTTTCACTCCGGCAACCTCGCCTTGCAACCAAAATGCCCAAGTGGGAGGATATCCGCGACGACCTGTTCCAGGCGTACATGATGGCCACTGGCCCAATTACCCAGGACCAGCAGGCCTCGATCGAGGATTTCATGGTCAGCCGCGGGCACGAAATCAAATGGAACGCGATTAGGTAAGAGGTCATTGAGGCAGGCAGGCATCTTTCACGTTTTCCGCGAACTCGGAGGCACCAGATCCACTTCCACAGTTGGTCTCAAGGCGGCGCTGTCCGTTTGTGCTATAAGTTCTCTTCCCTTCTACTCCCATCCGATTCCTCCTCCTTTGCCCAAACAACCCACACGGCCCATCTTTGTCCGAGTCAACAACTTGATCATCCCACCCTCAGCACTACTAACATCTCCAACTCAACCAAGATGTCCGCGCAGCGCAACTTGACCAGGTGGGATCAAAAGACGCACGAGGACATCATGATGGCCATGTTCATCCATTTCCTCCCGACGGCGTCTGATATGAAGGAGATTGTTGAGCTCCTCAAACCAAAGGGACACGCATTCACTGATTCCGCGCTACTGTACGTTGAGATGAAGGCGAGAGGACCCTCCACCTTTCGCCTCGTTTGCTCTCCCAATGGAGTACAAATATCCCTCGTCTCTCCCTCCTGATTCCCTCCCCGCTCTCTCACCCTTCCACATCATCAGCAACAAGCAGTGCAGCAGAATCACACTGCCATCACCTCAAAGCACTTCGCAAAAGAATCAGCCCAAATTCTCTGTCTTCCAAAATGGAGGACGAGGACGAGATGTACTACGTCCCCAGGGCTTCCCAGAAGCCTACCACCTGGGATCACGACGCCCATCTGACGTTGCTTCAAGCCGTCATGGTGGAGGCTCTTCCTAACAAGACGCAGTGGGACAGGATTCTGAAGCGCGTTTCCAGCAAGGGATATTTTTACACCCAGACCGCGGTTCTGTAAGCTTCTCTGACGCTTTTTCTGCCGTTTTCCGCTCGAGTGGGCGGGGCAGTCACCTTATCCTCACCTTGGCCCCTGCTCTTCTTTTTGATTCCCTATAAATTTCCCCGCCCGATTCGAGCCACTTCTCTCCTCCTTCCCTCTTGCAACTCACTCACCTTCCCACTTCCACCCCACCATCATCCTACAACAAGCACCACCACCACCAACAAGTCTTCCCTCCACATATCATTCATCATCATCATGGGAGACTCCGATACCGAAAAGGTCTCCTCCGAGACCGGCCGCATGTCATGGACACATAATGTGGACAAGCACCTAATCGGCTGCATCGTCGAGGAGATTCTTCCCGGCGAGGAGGCTTACAGGAACCTTGCCGCGCGCATGGCAAGCCTGGGATACACATGCACGCCCAAGTCTGTGAAGTACGCTTGCTAACCTACCAACCACCTTTCGTTCGCGTCTGCATAGCTTCATTCGCTCGTCCATTTCCTTCGCTTCATTCTTCATTCACCTCAGTCACTTCCTAACCAAACAGTCCACTAACCATTCTTCGCGCATCACAGGCAGCACCTCCAAAAGCTTCGCCGCAAGGAGGGTGTTTCCGCGGCCGCCGGCGGCTCAGACAGCGGCGCCGCCAATACCCCGTCCAAGCGCAAGCGTGGTGCCGCCCCCGGCAGCGGCGTCAAGAAGACCCCCGGTTCCGCTCGCGGCAAAAAGGCTGCTGCTGCCAAGGCCGCCGCACCCTTGGTCATCGACTCCGATGACGAGGATGTCAAGGATGAATCTCCCTCGAAGAAGCTCAAGACCGAGGAGGCGGCCGAGAGCAAGGTCAAGGAGGAGTACGATGATGGGTGAGTGTTTTCTAACCGAAGACAAGTCTTGGATGTTCCCGTTGGGTGGGATCATGGAAGTTGTACATGTACCTGTACTGACTGGTAGTGTTCGCGATAGTCTCGAGGACTACATGTACCCCAACGAGATCTAATCTCTCGTCGTCTGGGTCAAGTCGTCTCCGTCCCGGCCTGGTCTGGTCTGGTCTGGCTGCGGTGGTTCGTTGTTACCTCGAGCACATGAACTATCCGCTGCCTGCCCCTGCTCTTTATCTCAAGTTTTCAACCCTCGACAACATCAGAACCGTTCTTTTTCCCAACAGTTCAAACTTCGACTTGGACAATCGACAAATGGATCTAAAAACTTGGACATGAGCATGGGTCTGGGCATACCTGCGGACGGAACTTTGTCGCATCCAATCTTCTTCTTCACTCAGCAATAGATCTGCAGTGCACACGACCTGAACTCACGGAACACACGGAACACACGGAACACATCATCGATATCGACATGGACATGGACATTGGTGGACACGACATACCTCAATCACATGCAATACCATTTAATCACTCACTACCTTACCTTAGCTACTTGGCTTTCAATCGGCATACATCATACTCGATATCTTCTCCAGCACTTTTACTTTCGCTTTTTGTTTCAAACCATGGAGTTGGAGAGGAAAAAAGGGCTTGCTTGGTTTGTTTGCTTGGTTTGCTTGGTCTGGTACTTGAGCCGGTATTTGGGGCATTTGGTATTAGCATGCGTCGGTCGGTGTTTTGCTGGCTCTTTATGGAAATGGAAGCCGAAATGGAAATACAAATGGTTTCATGAATGGCACTTCTTTCTCAAACTACATACCTACCTTGGAGCGACTTGTATGTGATTGTGTGATTGTGCCGTTCTGACTTGCTTCAACCCTCCACTTGTTGCCGTGTATTTTATCAGTGTTCAATACAGTGACAGGTACCGTGATAGGTACCGTGATATTCAAGCGTGCAGTGCACGTTGTTGTTGTTGTTGTTGTTGTTATTTTTAACGTCTACTTCCGCCTCCCGTAGGGCATGAGACGTGCCGCACCGGTGAGTCTAGCATACAAAATTAAGAGCAATGCCCTAACTGTCCACCAAAACCATTAATCCGAGGGCAAACCGAGGCCTATTGCCAGTGTAAATCATGTGTTGCCCATAGCGTAAACGCGGCCCAACACCTATAATCGAATCGCCTAGTGGGCGAATTGTGCAGTGCACGTACAGGTAGCGACGAAGTGGAAGTCCAAGTGGTGTTGGCCCCGCTTTTCCATGTTCCGCAGCGCTGCAAGTTCCTGCCGGAACGGAACAGGAGATGCGCCGCACTTGGACCACGGCAGCATTACATCCTGCACAAGCACTTTCTGCACCCCAAAATACCACCTGAAAGGAACGTTATCCATTTGACTTCACTGAAATTGAGCTATTTTGCATTCAATTTTTGCGTTGGCCAAATTAAAGACGAGTGTCCACCAGGTGTCTGTCGGCTTTGCCTGCGCCTGCAAGTTGCAAGCTAAAAGAAAAAAGTGGGTCGTTTCAGGGGCTACAAAACAGTCGGATGGAAGTGGAAAAGTGCACCCGCGCCCGGCATATGCACCAAAGGAAAATTTCCTCCACACCTGCAAGATATAGCAGGGCCTAATTCACTCCATGGTTGATTAACATCACGATAGCTTGCAAAGGCAGGGGCAGTTATGACCATAGGTAACCTTTGTTTGCTGGCAACGGGCGGCGTTGATCTTCCATTCGGTTGTCTTTCATTTCTGTTCGTTGTATCAAATCACCAATGTCTTCCAGTTCCTTTCTTTGTATATCTCATCCACCACCAGCATTTCCATTGCCAAACAGACAGACATGCCTAGGGCAAGCAACAAAGATGATGCCTGCAAACCATGACGCGTGTCAACCAACGATCTTGCTATACGAGAGAGCAAAAGAAATCCATCTCCTCCATAAAAAAAAGAAGAAAGGACCTTCCAACGCCGAGCATGCTGAATTCGATGACGAAGGAAAACGGCAAGCCAAGCCACAATGTCCGATGTACCTAAGGTATGCAACCGTGAACCGACCAAAAACCGACAATCCCCAACTCCGCGCTTGTTGCATGAAGCCAATATGGAAATGGAAAAAACATCCGCCTTTATGAACGCCTGAGTGACCAAGCAACTACAAGAACAGTCTAGTTTAGTCTAGCATGAACTCCAACCAGAAAGTGTCCTGTCCGGTCACCAGAGCTGAGCTCCAAAAGTCCAGAAAAGAGAAAACACCAAAGGAAATCCGATCGATCGACCATCTATCATGGGGAGACATGACCTTGAGGGTTGTTATCGCGAGGTAGTCGTGTACGTCAGGCATGTGTTTGGTTGTTGTGGTTGAAGGCGAATCTGGTAACACAGACATCAGCAACCACTCCAAGCTTAGACAGGACACGGAAATTGTGAAGGTAACCCACCTAAACCTCGCCAGGATCAATGCCGCCAACCAGATCAGCAGCCTCAGTCGCATCAGAGGCCAAGATGTCACCGATGGCTTGCTCAACGTGAGAGCTTCCATCCATAGCAACCAAGATGCTATCGCCATCATGGCCGTTGGCACCGTCGACAGGAGAGGAAGCAGGCTCCAAACCAGGAGTGGCAGGGTCGTTGACGGGCTCGTCAATGGCAGCAGCAGCAAGGGCGCTAGCAGCAGCCACCTCCTCAGCCGTTTGGGCAGCAGCCATCTCGGCTTTGTTCGCCGCCAGCTCAGCCTTTTGCTTGACAGTCAAATGCTTGCTGGGAGCAGGCTTCTTCTTGGCGGGAGTTTCGTCAAAAAGGATCGCATCGGGGTCGGCCTCCTCGGCGCTGCGCTTGATGCCTGAGCCAATCTTCGAGGGTGTCTCAGGCGTCATGTCGCCAAAAGAGAGGTTAGCCATGGCCGTGCCGGGAGTGGAAATGGCGTCTCCTCCCTCATTGACGGTGGTGCTGGGGGTGAGCATCATTGTCTTCTTGGGGGGTCTGCCACGGCCGCGCTTGACGGGGGTGACTCCAACTCCGGCGTCAGAGCCATCGGTGCCAGCAGCAGCAGCGGAAACAACCGCCTTCTTTGCGCTGCTAACGGTGGCAAGGACAGCGCCAGCGCCAGCAGCGCCATCGGAAAGACCATCAGGATTGAGGTTACACTTCTTGCGCAAGACGCGCCAGGCCTCTTTGGCGCTTTTGGCATTCTGCATGCCCAGCGACTTGGCGACCAGCTCCCAGTTGGCGTCGATCCTAGTGGTCAAGTTCTCCAGGATGGCGCAGACGGCCTGGAGTTCCTTCAGAGTGAGAGGCTGGCCATTGATGACGGGGCCGGAAGCGGCGCCCTCAAAAAAGCAGCGGCGGCGGCGGCCTTGGGAGGCATCTTGACTGAGTTTGTTGTTGTTGATGGGATTCTGGTGGCTGTGGGGAAGGGTTAGCCAGTCTCTTGTGTGTGCAGGAATCGAAGAATGGCAAGGAGATGATGATGCCATTGGGATCCCATTCAAATTCATTGAGCAAGGAAGACTTACGCTTGAGTGGCAGAGGTGATAATGTTCTTGCGATTCTGGTTCGCGATCGTGGGTCGGAGTGGCGACAATCCTGATCTTGACGTGGTTCTGTGAGTCGCGGAGGAGGCGCGGTCAGTCATTGCCTGGAGACAGAATCAAGGCGTCAATACATACCGAGATTGCAAGGGAGTATGCGCGAGGGAGAGACGAAGGCAAGCAATGCCAATTAAGGAGGATGCTAGAGACTAACGGAGGAAGAAGAGAGTGTTGGCAACGTGTGATGCTCAAAGCAAAGCTGGCTGGAGGCAGAGAGTGGTGACTGTTGATGAAGCTGCTCACGAATTGTTGCTTGGAGGAAGAAGAGTTACCCTGACAAGGAGAAAGACAAAAGAAGGGACGCCCAAGTGGTGGAAGCTCAAAACCGGGAGTGGGACCGTTGTCAGTGGCAGGACGGAGACCGGGTCACGCCCAAACAAACCTCGTCTGCGAGTATCTTATCCTCTCCTCGACCAACACCTGTGTGACGACTGAGTCACCTACCCCAAAAGGTCCTCAAGATAACCGTCATCTCCTCGGCCAATGGGGAAGCTTATGCCACGAATCGTGAGAGATAGGAGGATAAGGTACTCGCACGGTACTTTGCAGCTTAGAGGCATCCACCTCCTGCGGAATTGGTCTTCGATCGATTTGGTAGTCGATATCAGACGGCAAACTTTCCCAAAGTGCCCTGCCCGCCCCCTCATGACCATCCGTTCATGCCCCCTCCCGCCGCCGCTGCCGCCGGGGCTAAGAACTTTGGCACCGGCCCGAGGATGGCCTGGCCAACTCCACGGGCAGATTGAAACTCTCGCACCCCACTACCTCGGTACCGTACCTTTGTGCACTTCCACTTCGTATTGTGGCTTGTTACTCTGTGGGCGGATTCTGGGCCGGGCGTTCGTTGCCGAGCAGTCCTGACCGCTTGTCCTTTTGTGCAGTAGGATAGGCCTTTGCTTGCAACGCTCTCTTTAATAGCTAGGTGTTCTGGCATGTCCTAAAATCCCGGCCCATTCTTTATAGACCTTAGCTTCCTTCATCGCTGAATCTACATAACTAGCTAATCTCGCCAGCTTCTAGTAGTTGGATTTCTCTCTTTTGAGATAGGGAGAAGTAACAAATATTTTTTCGTTCTCAAGTACGGAGAAATAGTGTGATGGCAGCCTTGCAGTTGTGCCTCTCGACTGCCATCGCAACTATATAAGACCACTTGAGCGACCGAATTGCCAGCTTCGGTTACTTGTATCCTTTTGGAACATAGCCTAGTGATGTAGTGGTCCGCCAGTGCCGTGACAAATAGCGTATAATTCAGCGCTAGTTTGCTTCTTCGTCTAGTTCTTCGGGTTTAAGTTGAGTAATGGGGACTTTTAACTTCTATTAACTTCGGAAAAAGAAATAGTTTTCCTTGAGAGTGTTGTAGAATGATGATAGAGAGTTGTTACGTTATAAGGACTCTTTTATGTTTCACTACGTGTTTTTTTACCGCTTCTCGTCCCCTTTAAAGCTTGTGAAACTAGAGAATATAAGATAGTAACTTCTTTCAACAGCAACCGTCCGCTCGAAGCCTAAATGTTCTTCCTTTTTAGTATAAAAACGCGTACGGTATCCTGAATTAAAAAGAACACTAAAGTTAAGTTAAGTAACTTCGGTAGCTTCTAATCTTAGAATAGTGAATATACTTTTATTTTAACGTACTTTGTGGTTTACGCTTTGGGAGATTTAACACTTCCACAGATCGGCCTTATATTCCAAAATAAAAGAGAACTCAAACACATTTCTCTCACAGAGTTTATTTCTCTTTCATTATTTTCTTCCTAACTTCGTATTCTAACTCTTCCGAAATAAAACCTTAACTTTCAAAGGTTCCTCCTCTCCAAGTTTTTTAAGTAGGAACGTAGTTAGTTAAAGACTTCAAAATCCCAACTATCTATATCTAATGGTGCTTTCTTCCTTCTCGTTCCTTAAAACTAAAGTAGGAAACTTCCAGTTTCTTTTCAAACCTCAAAGAATAATTTAACTTATTCTTAGAAGTTTAATTCTTATAATTAGAATAACAGTCTTCGAACCTTTATTCCTCGCCCAGCGCCTTCCTAGTATCTCAACTAAGCATCGCTGAACTTTCTAAGCCCTCTTTTCTTCTTTTCATTATCTTTCTGTTACGAACTTAAGCGAAGGACACGGGACAACCAAGCCACCGGTACACTGCAGTCACAAGAAGGCTGGGCAGTGTAACTATGATGGGAATGCAAGGCAGGCTCACGCGTAGAGCCAGGCTCACCAGTCGAGCCGGACTCTCGGATTGAGTCAACAGTAGATAGACTTATGGGGCTTGAAGCTACTGAGCAGCCGGAGACAGATATCTCGCAGAGGGCGAGCAGGTATAAAGGGACTGCTGGAGAACTCAGATTGTTAGATAGTTTGACAGTAGTCAATTGATCACTATCACTGAGACTAGTATAACGCTACTATACTTGTTGTGAACCTTTTGGCTTCACCGAACGACTTCTGGTAGTTATTATCCTTCAGCTATCTCATTTAGGCAGATCAGACTGTCGTTCGTCACACTTTCCTAACTTAAGTACTTTAACACAAGGCTTTCTAACGAAATTCCGCCTTCGGCTCTTAGTCTCCGTGTTGGAAAACGAGTTTTCATTTTCAAAAAGAGCTTTCAAGTCTTGTAGTCCGGATTTAGCTAATTAATAGCTAAATGAGAAGAGAAAGCCTTCTGGGATCCTGAAGTGACCTTCTAGAGGCTTGAAATGAGGTTTTGGGAGTTCGGGAAGGCCTTTTGGAGAGCAGATATGGGCTTCTGGGCAAGCAGAGACTGGATGAAAAAGTAGGAGAATATCACAGGGGTAGCCTGTGATGTGGTTGCACTGCACTGACTGCACATGTGCCATACCAGAGCTGGTGTCTTTTCCTTTGTTCTACAGGTCCCGCCATATACTGGCAGCACGCTTACTGGGCGATTCGATTATAAGTGTTGGGCCGCGTTTACGCTATGGGAAACACGTGATTTACACTGGCAATAGGCATCGGTTTGCCCTCGGATTAAAAGGGTTTGGTGGACAGCTAGGACACTGCTCCTATTTTTATATGCTAGACTCACCGATGCGGCACGTCTCATGCCCTACGGGAGACGGAAGTAGACGTTAAAAATAACAACAACAACAACTGTGACGATATGGATCCCGCAACTCTCACACATTATGAGATTAGATAAGGAAGGCGGTAGAGACTGGAAGAATCTAGGCTCCTCTCATGTGAGGATGCACTTTAGAGCCCAGCTCTCAATCTCTCCCTCTTCTCTTCTTTAGCTTTAGTTATTTATTCATTTGTACCCAACTACGCGATACGAAACTACGTGAGCTGGTGCATCGTAACACAGCATAGTTGACACAGATGCTGGCCAAAAAGAATTGATAAGGTTCTACGAAGAGAGAAGGGGAGAAAAGGACGCCCTCTGAGCAGTCTGGCCGGCTGTCCTAAAGAAGAGACGTGCACGCGCACAGGGCAACGTTGCCTGCCGTGAGAGTGGAGCACTCGCTTGGCAAGATTGCCAGGCATTTCAGCCACGGGCACTAGCCCCATAACAATTAAAATACTTAGGTAAGGGAAATTAATATGCAGTACTATTGTAAATGTATAATAGTATTCCACAAAATATATTTAGGAGGTAAAAATATATAGTTGTTAAAAGATTTTTATAATTAGAAAATAATTATACAATACTATTATACAACTAAAACGTTTTTATTAATGCCATTCTATTCCATATAGTGATTTTTGCGCGCTAAATAATATATTCCGCTACTTAAATTATTGCTGCTAAACGAATATTTAATTGGCAACGTATTTAATAATGCAACAGTCGTACACAGTGCCTTTCCAGCGCCAAACTCATACAGCAGCATTTGCATCACGCAATACCCCTTTCCGGGTATTTTCTACAACCCCCCTTTCCCTGCAGGGGACCTATATAGGACTTCACTATAGTGGCACCCGGAATTTCATCCCATCCATAGTTCCATACCGGCAACAGCATCATACAGTTTTCTCCACCGTCTGCCTTCAGCTGTTTCCGCCTGCCATCGTCGCCACCATGGTAGGAATCAGTCCAAGACTTCGAAGGTGTATACGGAGATGCTGGGGCAGCAGGGTGATGATTTCATTTTTGCCAAAATAGGCCTGTTTCAGGTGCAAACGGTTTGATAAAATAAACCCAGCAGGGTGAAGCCAGTGCTCGTACCGTAGGTTCCTGCCCGGTCCTGGCTTTCTTAGTCGGAGTGCCTAGAATAGGTAGAAAGCAGTCATCATCAGAATCATGTTGAATATGTGAGAGCCCCAAGTCTTCTTTTGCCTGGAGGGGGCATTACGGTTACAGAAGAATTGGACTCCCATCCGGGGGCTGATCCAAGACCCCACGGGAGGCTGAGATGGAAATCAAAATCTCATCCTCCCCGTGCCGTTCCTTCTGCCCCGGCGTTATTGATATCTCCCGTGCGACGGTCTGGCAAGGAAGGGGACCGATACATGTAAATACATTGAGGCTGCCAAACTCAAAAGGAGACTGGTCCCCTTGGCATCTGCTGCCTGGTAGGTTATTCGACAGGCTGCTGAACCATGAACAAGCGTTGCCTCCGTATTGGAACCAAGGCATATTCCATATCTCATAGCCACGATGAGGTCTGGCCTCCTCGCAAAATTACCGTCCAAATCGAAGAATTCCCTGTAGAATCTGACACAAGCTACCGTGCGAGTATCCATCCTCCTTATCTCTTCTTACCAGAGGCAGAAGGCCTAGGCCTTTCCACTGGTCAACAAGGGGGCCCGGGTCTTTTTCCTTGAGGACCTTTAGGGGTAGGTACCTCTAGGCAGCCGGAGGTGGTCACGCCTCGAATCGTTCGTTTGTTGGTGGAGATTCTCGGTCTCGCAAGCAAGATTTTTTCGAGGGTGACGTCTTGTCTTTTTTTTTTGTTTTCCCTTCCCTCCCCTTGTATTGAAAGGGCGCGGGGCACTTCTTCTGAGCTGACACGTCTTTTTGTTCCTTTTGTTTTCCTTCTGGCCAGGAGCAATTTTTCTTTTCTCCCTCTTCCTATCGAAGAAATAACAACAACCAGCTTCTTCGTTCGCAAGTTCACAACGTCGTATCTGCCTCGTCCGTCTGCTCGGTCTTGCTTGCTTGCCCTTTCTGCGTCTAGTAAGACATCACCACCAGCTTCTTGTCTTCTTGTAAGTAAATTACCTCTTCGTCCAGTCCATCAGTCGTGCCCACCAGGCTCCTTGCTTCATATTTTGCGCTTCTGGTGGCGGCACTTGTGGCTTTTATCCTGCTGTCATGCCTGTTTTCCTGACAACCTGTGTTCCCACGTCGCAGACAGGAGCTCACCGCGCCCTCAAGATTCTCTCGTTGCCCACGATCGTCCTCGTGGTCGTCACTGAAATCTCACCTTCGTTGCTTGACGGTAAGTTGATCCATCTGAGTTGTTCCTCATGGACAATACCCCCAACTGTTCACGCTCATGTCCATCCATGATCTCACGACTCCCCCACGTGGAATCTCGTTCTTCGTTGCGCGAGATAGATCTTGTCTCCCTGTCTTATTATTCTCTTTGAGTCGGTTGTTATTTTCCCAACCGTTGCCTTATCTCACGTTGACAGAATGCGTCACCCATCGGCAAAAAGCTAATCCTTTCCCACCATCAGCCACTCCAATCCATCAAGATGCCTCCCAAGCCCGCTGCCGCCGATACGACGGTCTACATAATCAACGGCGTCCCCGTAACCGCTAGCGACCTGAAGCTCCTCTGCGGCATTATGTCCAGCCTCACCGCGCCCATCCAGGCCGACCTTGAGGCCGCCGCCGCTGCCTCGGGCTACACCGTCGGGTCCTTCAAAAAGATGTGGCCTGCTTTTAAAAAGAAGGTCAACATTGAAAGTGTTAGTGGCAACAAGTCTGCTGCCACTGTTGCCGTTGCTGCAGCTGTGGACGACAACGGCGAGCCCGTTGCCACTCCCCAGAAGACCCCCGGTGGCGTTCGCGGTGGCGGCCGCGGCCGCTCCGCCAAGAAATACGATGCCATCGCCATGGTTGTCGACAGCGGTGGCCCGTCTCCCTTGACTCCTGGCGTTCCTGACGGAATGGATGCTCTCTCTGTTATCGACGCTGGCACTGGCTTCGAGACTCCCGACACTCCATCCAAGTCCACCTTCGGTGGCATGAGCACCACCGTTTCGTCCAAGAAGCGCATCGCTGCTGAGCAGACTGATGCTGATGCGGATGCCATCGCCATGGAGGAGGAAACTCCCGCCAAGAAGAAGAAGCCGGTTGCTCGCAAGCCTCGCGTCACGGCCAAGATGAAGAGGGAGGCGGCTGCGGCTGCTGAAGCCGCTCTTCTTGCCGAGTCTCTCTCGTTTTATGATCATGAGGAGTATGAGCTTGAGCATCAGAAGCATGACCCTGACCCCGCCGCCGATGGTGATCCCACTGACGATAAGATCGACACTATCCTGGCCGGTGAAGATGGTTTTGGCTCTCACTCCCAGGCTGAGGGTGATGATGTCTTCACTGATGCTTGCGAGATTTAAGCAAGGTAAGTTTTCCTCTTCCTTCGTCTTCTTCGTTCCATTTGTTTGACGTAGAAAGAGACCACTGACACTCTTGCCAACACAGACACCGCATCACGCCTATCTCATGTCATCCACGCGGCTGACATTCACTGCCGGATCCACAACATCGATTTCAACGATATCGTTTCCCATAGCTTCGACACGGTGTCTTGGTGTCCTACGTTCTCGACCAGGACTTTTGGACTTGGATTAATAACACCATGGTGTTTTGGCAGGGATTCGTGCTTTAGTTCAGGAGTTCATGGAGTTAGGTGATTAGGTGCTTTATGGAATAAGGCGGATGTTGCTTTCACTTACGGATCTTTGCTTGAAAGTACACAGGCGTTCATTTGGAAGGAAATTGCATTTTCGATATCAGCGATTGCATAAGGTGGCGGCATAGCGGCATTTGTTTGGCGCTTTCGGCTTGGTTTTTGATTTTCTTGTGGTCACTGCCTGGAGGTTGGTCACGATGGAAAAGCACCTTTGGCGTCGTTGGTACCAAGTAGACATACAGTCTTTCGTCCGAACTTAGTTAAGCTCGTCAAAGGCTTTTGGCAGAAACCAAATCGTCCAAGTGCCCGAATGGAGATTATTCAAAATTACCTCTACGTTGCCGAATCTTCCTGTGTGACATGTTGGGCATCAGTGATTGGTGAAAATACTTGGTGAGCCGCTTGAGGCAGCTCGAGGACCTGGGGGAAAAGAAGACAAAAAAAAAGTGGCGTACCGGCACCAGGGCACTAGGCAGGCCCTATTCAACGCTCTGCAAATAGAATTTCGAAAATACCTAAAACGTACCTCCCAATCCTCAGACATCTGCTGCTCGTTGCCTTTTCAGAGAGCGTTTCCCATTGGCTAGCGAGGGTGCCATGTATCTTGAGGACCTTTTCGGGCAGGTAGACGACCAAGGTACCTAAGGTAGGTACCTAAGTGGTCACGCCAAATTCCTTGACGAGATATCCGCAGGCAAGTGACGTTTTTCCGAGCGTGACGTGTTTGTTTTTCCTGCCCTCCATTGGCAACGGTTTCACCCCCGGCAGCCTGGCCTCTCCCAGGTACTCGTTTGTCTGTTCCACTTGTTGTGCCCCTCCTCAGGACACTCTTCCTTTTCTTGTTTTCCTTTCCAGGACACTCTTCTTTTTCTCCCAGCAACAACTTGGAAAGCTTCGCCGTGGACCGCCGTGGACTACCAGGCTATTTTCTGTGAGCTTCCCTTCCACATCACAGCAGCTTTGTTCTCGTTTTATCCTAGGGCACTGGCTGACATCTTCTTTCTCGTCGCTGGCAGGATTGCTTCAGACCAAGATCAAGGTGCTTCATTGCCTCAACCTTTGATCACCACAAAGCTTCCAAACTTAACAGTCGCCTCACCTAAGCGTAAGTCCACCCCTCCTACCTTATGCATCACTTAGGTAGAGGCGGTAACCACAACCAGACTTTCAACTTTCAAGTTCCCGCAAAGCCAAAATGCCTCCCAAGTTCGTCGCCAGCTCTGAGTCCCCCTGCGTCCTCCGCGGCCAGACCCTCACCAACAGCGAGTGCAACGTGCTCTTCTCCGCGCTCTCCAATCTCCTGGCGCCTCTTGAGATCAACATGGAGGCTGCTGCCTTGTCTGCCGGTCTCAAGCCGAACTCCTATAAGGAAATGTTGCGCCAGCTCAAGAAAAAGTACGACCTTGGTAACCCCAACGCCGCTGCCGCTGCTGGCGATTCGGGAGAGGGAGATTGCGGCTTCACCCCGGTGAAGAAACGGACTGCTGCCGAAGCTGACCCCAACGGCGAGGTCATGGAGGATAGCCCGGCTAAGAAGAAGACTGCTACCCCCCGTAAGCCGCGCATTACCGCGAAGATGAAGAGGGAGGCTGAGGCGGCGGCGGCGGCTGCTGCTGCTGCTGCGCAGACTGCTGCGGTTGATGATGGTTATGCTACTGCTACTGAGGGTGGCGCCGACAACGGCGAGATCTAGTCTAGTCTGAGTGAGTTTGATTGTCCCGTTTTCTTTCCTTCGTCAGTTCCTATCTTGAGAGGGGGGCATGAGCAGTTGAATGATTTCTGACGTTGCCTGTATGTGCCGTTATAGGATCTAGAGGATACCTATATAGGCATACCTACCTTAAGGTACCGTATATGGGCATTCGCAAAGGGATACTGGCTTTTTCAATGAACTGCATATCCGTTTGGCGTTGTCGGCTTCATCTTGGACTCTTGGTCAGGTAGATGGAGATTGGTATTCATGGCGTCATTGGTGGACAAAGAGGTATCTTCGAATTTCGAATGGTGGAAAGCGTATACCCAGATAGAAGATAGCATCAGCGTCTCTTTATTGCCGCGCTTGGAATGCCAGGAATTAGGTCCCGGCTGATACCCAAGGGATTCTCGATGGACTTTTCCGTAGAATGCTCTGAAAGTTCCAGTTTGTCTGGAACAGATCAGCCCAAGACTTTCTGCAGCAACTAAATTTTACCATGGAACCAAATGTGTGCAGTGCCCTTGGCAAGTGCTCCTGTATCCCTGTGAATTTTGTACGAGGCCTTCACATTAGCCCACAAAGGGCCCTATGCCTTGAGGACCTCCATGGGTAGAGTGGTCACGCTGAGCCAGTCTCGGAGCTTCTTGCGAGCGTGACGCGGTTTGATCGGAGTGACGTGCTGAGGTGGCTTTCCCGCTCCCGCTGACAGCCTGGCACCGGTTCCACTCCGAGCTTGGTTCCAATACAGTGCCTGCCCGTTCTTTCGTTTTTTCCCCCCGCCAGGACACTCTTCTTTTTCCCAAGCAGCAACTCGACCAGCTCCTTCACACACTGCCCACTGCGTAAGACTGCTTTCAGTTTATCATCTTGCGCCAACCCACAAGTTCTTCTTCGTCGTTGACAGGAGCGCTTCCAAGTTCAGATTGAACTCGCCCCAAAGATCACAAACTCGTTACTCAACGCCACTCGTACCAACCAAAGGTAAGTCCCGCTGATGACCCAAGCTGACTTGTAGCTCACCATCACCTCGTGGTTGTCCTAGCCAACAACAAGCTGACCACTCCCCCTCCTCCTCTCCCTCCCACAGATCCATACTCAGTCCATCAATCTCCATCATGCCTTCCAAAGCAATCGCCGCGTCCGAGGGCGCCTCCTCGAGCATGATCCTGAACGGCGTCCAGCTCACTCCCGCCGAGTCCCGCATTGGCGCTGCGATCTTAGAGATCCATGCCGGCAACGTCGACATCGACTGGAACGCGGTGGCTGAGAAGACAGGTCATAAGACCCCGAAGGCTTGCAGAGATGCCTGGCGCCTCGCCAAGGTCAAGACCGGCATCGCTTCCGTCAACGGCGCTGCCGCTGGTGCCCCTACCGCTGCCGCTGGTGTCACTACCGCTGGCGGCACTGACACCGCTGGTGGTGTCACTCCCGTGAAGAAACGCCGCGGTCGCCCGCCCAAGAAGGCCGCCGCCGCCGCCGCCGCTTTGTCAACTCCTGGCAGCTCTACTGCCATGAGCAACCTCTCTTTTGAGGATGGCGTGGGTCCGGAGACTCCCTCCAAGTCCACCTCGGCTTTGGGTATCAAGCGCGAGGCCGACTCCGATGCTGAAGACACTCCCGCAAAGAAGAAGCCTGCTTCTGCTCGTAAGCCCCGTCTGACCAGCGCGAGACAGAAGACTGCGGCCACCGCTGCTGCTGCCCAGGCCGATACGGGTGATTCCAAGCGCGACAGTGTTGATGTTGCCATGGAGAGAGTCTCTGATGCCATCGCTGACATGCGTGCTGCTGCTGCTGCCGACTATGCTGCTGCCGACTATGCTGCTGCCGACTATGCTACTGCCGACTATGCTGCTGTCGACTATGCTGCTGTCGCCGACGCTGGTTACGCCACAGCTAGTGAGAGTGGTGGTGCCGACATTGGCGAGATCTAGGTGAGTGGGATGTTGTGTATTCCAGTCCTTCATTAAGGCCTCTCGGCACTCTCCCAGGTTGGAGTTGGAACTTGGAACTTGGAATGGTTGCTGACAATAAGGTACCTGTATGTGCTGTAACAGAATCTCAACGCGAACCATGACAACCGACAACGGGAACCTTCCGCATACGAAGGATGACGACTGCCTACCTCAACAATAACGTTGCCTCTCTCTCCTCTGCAATGAAAATTTCTGGCTGGCTCTTTTGGAGTTTCGGTTGTCTTGGACTTTGGGCCGCCTGGTGGCACTTCTCTGCTTTCTGGTCCTTTCGGTTTAGGAGGAGTTGGGACACGAGCTGGACATTTTCTTTCCCGGTCGTTGGTGGGCAGTTGCATAGCCTTAGTACAAAGGTGGCTTTTGTTTCCATTTCTTTGCTTTGTTGAAGCTCGGAGTTGGGAGTGTCCTCCTTGGTGGATAGGTTGCATACACTAGATTTTGGCTTGGCGATAGGACCACGCTTGGAGTTTAGAGGTTCTTTGGCGATGATAGAGTCCTTTGCTTGGTCGTTAGTAGAATGGATCTTCTTTTTGTCGTCAATCTTGATCTTGTTGCCGCTCCCTTGTTTTGCTATCATTGTTGATATCGCTGACGGTAGGTATAGAGGTCACCGCAGAAAGAGCGAAGACACTCGCGGACGCAAAGGAGACACTCGCATATGCAGACGCAGCTGCACATCCTCCTGCTTCCGTTGCTTATTCCCCTTTACGCGTTTGACTTCTTCCATACCCCCATTCTCACATTCTGCCTCCTTTCTTCCCGTTCTCTTCCCCTTTTCTGCCCTCGCCTCCTCCCCTCCTTACCACAGCTACACCAGCACCACCTACATCATGACAGCAACCCTCAACCACAAAACCCTCAACAGCACTCTCGCCGCAGCCACCGCATTCTCGCACGCAGACAGAGAAACACCGCCACCGCCCTGGTCCAGAAGTAACCAACCCGGCCACTGGCCCAGTCTCTCATCGTGCTCGTACTCGGCCTTGGCCGATAGGGACCACATGTATCTGGCGGCTGCCAGGAGGGTTTTTGCTTTCTTGGTGGTCGGGGAGAAGGGGTTGTCGGTTAGCCCAGTTCCAATGGTGGAAGTGCGAGAAGGGAGTGGGGACGGTGTTGTCGTGGCGGTAGTCGTAGAAGACTTGGAAGACTTGGAGAACAGGGAGTTGGACCTGAAGCTGGAGGAGGAGAAGACAGAGGAGGAGGATGACGAGGTGCAGGCAGCCTGTTCGGATTCTGCTTTTGGTTCCAGCTGGGCTAGAGGCCAACCAGATTCACTCTCTTCCTCAGTGTGGTTGGCAGGGGCGTCGAGGATGACAAACATGTACACGAGCGCCACTCTAAAGCCAAAGTCGGTCATGCGACAACATGGGTCTTCTGTTTGAGTACCCGTGTATGTGACCCTACCTCTAGTGCTCTTGCTGGTAGAGGTAGTTGTTGGTGTGCAAGTGGCTTTGGGCATGTTGGTTCGCAGGTTGTCAGGCTCGTTATTCTCTCCTGTGAGAGTGTCATATGACCAAGCCGGAGAGTAACTGGCACGGCCATGGATAGAGAGCCCAAGCAATCTCTCCTGTCGTTCCTTCTCAGCCTCTCCCTCGACCAGGATAGATTTCCAAAGCAAATTGCTGGCAAAATGACCCTAAAACCGAAAGCATTCGATGAACAGCATTTAGCGTCGGTCTGCGTACCTATGCTGGCGTAGTTGGCGGGCTGCTTGTTAACGGAGTGACTGATGTTGATTTGAGCACCGGAAAAATGAGGTTGGGGATTGTCAATGGTTTGACGTCCGGTAACAGCCTGTATTTCGACAGGAGAAGACGCGAGAGCTGGGGAGGGAGCGGTGAATGGGGTGTTGGTAGATGGAACATCCGGGACTGTGGGACTAATAGGGGTACAAGCAGATGGGGGAGTTTGTTGAGCCTTGAGGACAGAAATAGACCCAGCCACAGAGATAAAAGCAGGCTAGACTTTGTTGGCAACGACAACCCGAGGGGGTCGAGGATATAGATCGTTGGTGGTCTCCCGAGCCGTATCCTCTTCGTTAAAAAGCTGATACTCAGCACATAGATTGCCCCACGCCTGTAGGGCCTCGTCCTCACTCTTCAAGCCAGCCCGCTCCGCGACTTTGGCCCAGTCGGCTGTGACTTTCTCCTTGAGGTTTTCTAGGATACTGAGTATGATATTGAGCGCGCTGGCGGTGGTTTTCTCGCCACGGAGTTGGGGTTCGACTGACGACATTTGGGCCTTACTTGGGTTGATTGGAAGATTGTCGTTGAGTCCGAATTTCTGCCGGACTATGCTCCATCTGTTGCCAAGCACCGCTTCTGAAGAAATATTGACTCTTTCGGCGGCCTTAGCCCCATAGAACTTGAGAAGCACTTTGTTTGACGCGTTGCTGATGGCGATATTCTTGAGTACGTTGAATATGAGGTTTTTGTCCTCCTTGGAGGCTTCTCTACCCCGGAGTTTGGGGGTGAGGCAGGCGATTTTACCCGCGGGCATTGTGAGTTTCTGTGAGATGTAGACGTGATATTTTAGTTAGCAAATAGTAGTCTGAGCAGAGGTTACTTACGTGGACAACGTACAAATTTGGTGCTCTAATCCCTTAATAGTACTGTGGCTGGCAGCAAGAGAGGGCCCAAGGCCAGGTTGAAGAGGAAGGGTGGACAATGGCGGACGGTACCTTAGGATGCTACTCTCTGGTAGCAGAAGAAATAGAAGAAGAAAAGTACAGGAGTTGAAGGACTCGAAGCGGACTTTATACCCCGTGACTTCTCTGATGAAGGTTTACTGGGCAATATTGCACATTCACAAGGGCTTGAAGGTTTAAGGTTCCGGCCCTCTTCCACCTGTCACTTGCCAAACATCCAGGTCGGTAACGAAACAATGCGTGGACAGGTTCATAACACGAGAACCTACACAGTAGGCGACCTCTGGTCAGGTTCTTGTGGCAAAGAGGTACCTTGGAGCAGGGTGCGAGGTGATATTCACCAAGCCAAACTAACAACCACGGCTGCACGTGAAGGTTATGTCTATGACCTAGCTCTTTTTCGGAGCAGACACTCTAGGATCACTGACTTGAAGCCTTTCGTCATCTTGTGGAGATTGGGGGGATTTAATGCAACACCCATACATGCTCGACAGAAACAGCTTTGCTAACTCGTGCCCTAGCGTAGAGAGGAGCATGCTCCGAAGCGCAGTACTGAGTCTGCTCGTAGGACTTGACCTCAATCACGAAGTAACCGAACTCAAAAGGGATAGGCAGCCCAAATCAATAACTCTATTATTTGCTGTCTATGGCCACTGGGCCTTGGGTGCTGTCAGACCAACTTTGGCTTTTAATCCTTTGGTCCAAGACTTCTAGGTCGTCTGCCCGCTGGTCGACCAGCTTGGTGCAAGGTCCGGCAGCGACGGGCGACGGGCGACAAACACTCCCTCTTTTAGACGGACATTGCCAACTGTCAACCCCAAACACGTGCCGGAAAGGGGCCTTGACGGATAGGTGATGGATTCCAGGGACAGCCGAGAACACTGGGCTATGACACTGGACAGGTGAAGCGGCTCCTGCGGTCCTTACCGCCTCGTTGTCTGATAATGCATGGTCCATGGACGTCTTGCTATACCTAACCCAGAAAGAGATGAAACATTGAATGCACAAGAACAATAGGATCTGAGAGTTTAAGCAGCTTTTCATGCCATGTGCGTACATCGTCTCCACCAAAACTTGGAAGGAAAGCTCTCATGAAGGACGAATAAGCCTTGTGGGTGTATCCGATGAAGTGCCTTAATGGAAGCGGGGGCTGGACGACACTCTCTGGTATTCCAATCCTTTCTGGCGGAACAGGCATCCCACTTGGACGAACGGACTAGGCTATAGGGCTTCCAGCATTGCAGTGAGGTTGCCTGGACGATGAATGAAAAGGATGAAATTTGCGAGCGAATGCGGCCGCTACAGCCAGCCCAGTATGGCCACTCGCAGTTTGATGGCCCCCTGTCCAGGACAGTGGCCTCGGACGACAAACTTGTCCTGGAGGTCCTGCGGCCTGCCACGATAGAGACGGTGTTCGGACAGGCGCTGTCGCTGGGTGGGGTCCTTGCCGTCCTGGCCGTCCATAAAATCCCCCATCCGTCGGCGTCTCGGACACTCTTCCTCCTTGCAACAACCACAACCTGCCTACCAAAGCATTTTGCTTGGAAGCACTCGCTGAACTCGTTTTCTGACAACTTTGTCTACAAAAGTAAGTCCAAGTCCCTCGGGCGTGTTTGGCTGCAAGAAAAAGCGTCATCTTCTCGCGTCTTGCAAGTGCACTCGCACCTTCCACTTTCCTGTCATTCGATTGCAGTCCAGCCACTCAATACACACATCAGTCACCTGACAGTCACTCGACAGTCACTCGACAGTAATTAGCACAAGCTATCAGTCAACTGACCTGACAGCAGTTCTTCGCAACAAATCTCATCGCACTCAATCGTCAAGATGCCTCCCAAACCCAACCAGGACGTTGCCGGTCAGATGAACTTCCTCTTGACCTGCATCAAGCACTCCAGCCAAGGCAAAATCAACTGGACCGAGGTCGCCGAGGAGCTCAGCATCGTATCCAAGGCCGCTGCGTAAGTCACTCACTCACTCGATCACTCCTTTCTCACCTCGCCTATTGTCGTCAAACAGTGATCAGTCCAGCTAACACACCCTCCCCATCGAAAGTGCCAAGCGCTACGAGCGCCTCCTGAAAGCGCACGACATCCAGCCACCCAGGAACTCCAGCTCCTTGGCCGATGAGGCGGGCCCCAGCGGCGCGAGCAGCCCGGCGAAGGTCAAGACTCCTCGTGCTGCCCGCACCACTAAGCGCAAGAGGGCCACTGCGACCGTCAGCTACAACGAGGATTCCGGCAATGAAGGGTCCGCTGGCGAGCAGCGTGAGCCCTTTACGTACAAGGCTGAGCCTGAGGACTCGGATGAGGAGCAGCGCCCGCTGAAGAAGGAGAAGTCTACTCCTGAGGTGCAAACCAAGCAGGAGGAGGGTGAGGATGGTGAGTCCGACTCCGATTACTTTTCGTGTTACTCTGACGATGTCGATCTTCTGGTTGTTGAAAGACATCAAGGCAGAGTACACTCGATACAGGTGTGGGGGAAAAGGATACGATGTGCTAATGGATGTTGTGGAGAGGATAGAGGGCAAGGACAACTACAAGTATGAGGGTGAGATCTGAGCATCTCCATCTTATCTGGTTGGGCACTGGGCAGATACCGATGACACTAAGATGCGGAGGCAGTTCATGTTGACATAGCGCGATGAAGGATCTGGATGGTATTTGAGCATGGAGTTGGGGCCTTTTTAATGTGCTTTTGCTCTCTGCTCTGTTCCTGTTCATAGGAATGGTTGCTCGGTCGGCGTATGGAGGATGATGGGCCGAATCAAGGAGGACAACAAAAAACAACAGGTACTTGAAAGACAAGCGGGAAATAAAGTGCCTTGACTTACAGAATGTCTCATTGCTTTGATTCGTCGGTTTTGTTGGTTCATTGTCTATCCGTTCACATTCGGTTCATGTTGGGAAAAGGGGCAGGCAATGATATAACAAGACTGGCGGCGTGAATATCGGGCCATGTGGTGGACCTGAAAGCGAGCAATGAACTGGAACAGTCAGTCTCCTGGAACAAAGGCGTGATTCTCTTCCAGGTTGTATGATTCCAGATTGGCTTGATCTTCATTTCGTTGCTTCTCCGGGCTGAGGACTGGAGGCGCCCTGATGTTGTGTCGTTTTGGTAAGGGTTAGGGTTGGGGAGCTGCAGGAGGAAGTTGCCTCTCATCTGGCGGGACCACTCGGACAACGTTGTGTTGGAACATTTGCTTGATGGCCGATGAGTAAATCACGTCTTAATTTTCCTGATTGAAACATGAGTCCTTCGTATGCCCGTTGAAAAGTCATGTGTTCCCACAGCTTGTGTCAGCCGGCAATTAGGCAGAGGCCGAGGCTGCAATGATGAAAGACGGGTACATACCACACTGCCGCGTCCATCTCCCAATAAAGCTCCGAGACACGGCAAATAATGATGGCTTCGTCTGATCGCTGAAGGTAGTGACAATGACGGTCTCAATACTCGTGAGCTTGGCGCCGGCAACCGTCTGGTTGTGTGGCCACACCAAGGAGCATCAGCCACATCCGTCTAGATGGGATGGAAGCCGACCATGGACAATAACGAATAATGGTATTGTACGATGCAACAGCAATGTATTTAAATAAGAGGTGTGTCGTTGGATAGCCACTGCGATAAAGACCAAGCCGATGGGTTTGGTGCAAGAGTCAAGTGGGAGATGGTGGAGGGAAAATCAAACGAAGAAAAATCAAAATTCGAAAAGTTATTCAAGTCGGCAGGCGCAAGGTGTAACATACACGTAAGAAACGCACCTGCCCTATTGTCGCTCGGATTCGTGTATTGTACCTGTAATGCCACAAGGGCAAGTTGGGAAGTTGCAAAGGCCATCCCGCATTCACTGACGCCCGATGGGCATCTGAGTGCTTGTCGCTGTCAGCCTCTGCCCATTGAGTAGGTACCTACCATTCACCTATAATGCCAAACTTACACCGGGAATTTTGCCATATCAAAATATTTCTCTCCATCACCAACTCCGGTCGCATCGCTGCCATTCTCAACTTTGAATATCCGTCAGGTAAACGCACCTTGCCTGCCCCGCACCAATTGACGTGCGCCCTTTCCCCCAGTCAAAAGTAAATAAACACTGACGACCTTGCGCAGACGCTCATTCTTTTTCGCTTTCTCTTGCATCAACCATCATTCAGTCAATACGCATCTCTTCGGCCAGGTATCATTGATATCACAGCACATCCGGTCATCACCGGATTCCGAAATCAGTTCGCTCAAAGGGGAAGCGGCAAGCGCCTGTGTTGTTGCGACATTCCCACCAATCGATATCCAGCGACTCCCCTGTCGCTCGGCGGTCTCATGGGTGTTAGTGCGACACCCGATTTCACGGCAATTCTCGCAGCAACATTGATAACCGGCTATCAAGTTTTATGCGCTACATTTTTCAGCACAGTGCACAATTGGCATCTCGGATCCACGATTGACTGGGGCCGAGAACACAAGATGGGCTCCGTGCATCACAGAGTGAGACGTGACGGGCGTCGCGACCAACATGGCACCTCTCATGTTTCTGTGCCAGTTTCTGGTAACGGTACGCGTCTTTTTCTTTTTTCCTCCTCCTTTTTCTTTCCCCAATCCCTATCCTTCCACATTTCCACACAATTGGCTTTCACCGGAGACATCATGTGTTTATGGGTCTGATGCAACGAAGGCATCTCAACAGAGATTTCTTTATCGGATTTCAGCGTACGGGGATTGTCTTAGTGAAAGACTTCGGGATCTCGGGTTTGTTCCGTGGCGTTGGCGTCTTTGCATATTGCTGTGTCTGCCTAGGCAGTCCAAAAAGACAAGTTGTTGCCGTTGTTGGACGCGGAAAACCGGGTCCCCTTTTCAATGCATAGAGGACCTCCTTAATGTTTTGATATAGGGCTTGGTTGGCATCACGCCTTCTGCTTCACAATGCCCAAAATCCGCTGTCAGGGTTACCGTGGCGGCCGCCTAGCTCTCATCGCCTGTCTTTGCCGCTACCCTTATCCTTGAGCCCATCTACTCTTTCACTTTGAACAAAACCCTTCTCACAATCAACCATCCCTTTGGATGCTTGGTCATTCATATCCTCACGCTCATTTCTTTTCCAATCACGCTTTCATGTACCTGCTGAGGCTGTCATATCCCAACCAGACACAGAGCTGTCTTTTTGGATATACAGCTTCCCTACTTCAGACATATACAGCGGTTATTGTACAGAGCCTTCATGTTTCCTGTCACAGACTCCCTACACTCAGAAGCATCTCGCTCTTCCACATATTTTTATTTATTTATGATTCTAATTTTTCTTCGCAGCTATGACATCGAGGTGTCGGCGACTCCGCCAGCTACCCTTTTTGCATCGGACGTGGATTCGCGCTACCAACTACTGGGAAGATAGAATGGGCAACAAGCCCTCCACCCAGTCTCGGGTGCCTGCTCATGAGTCCGACGTCAGATTTTCCGACCACAGTCACCACCTTGACCAAGACTTTGACGACACATGTCAACATCCAGCAAAACGTCGACGCCTCAACGACAATGATGGTTTTCCCTTGTACGCGGATCCCTACGGCGACAAACCCCGATGCCTGCGGATAGAGGTCCTCAAGATCATCCACAAAGACTCACCCCGCATCAAAAATGGCGTGTCTAACAGCATTGTGGCACCTGACGTGAGGGATACCGCGACTATGGGGGCACGTTGCAAGCTGAGCATTTATGGTCATAACGGGGATGAAAAGGTTCTCCTGCACGTCGACAGCCAGCTATGCGAGCTCAAGGTCTACAAAAACCCTGCCGCCGCATCTACGCACATGGCTCGACTGTATGCTATCAAGGCTTTCGATATACCCGAGGACAAAATATACTTGGAGCGGGATGGCAGTGATCCCGCCTTTGGCTTTGCCGATTTCTACAGTGTCCTGATCGAAATCAAATCAGCCGGAGATCCAAACTGGCCACCCAGCAGCCTAATTCCGACCAAGGTGGAAGATGATTCCTCAGCCCGTAATCTGCCACCGCGACATTGGGCTCTGTCCGCCCAACTTCCTGATATTTTCCATACTCGCAACAGGAAGACGGCGAGGTTAAAAGCGAGGATACAGCAGAACCGAGAGACTCCTACGGATTTCGTCATGGACATTGACGTGCGTTGGCAAACAAGCATATCAAGCCAACTAACAGGGAACCAGAAGCCCAAGGAGATCATGCACTCTATTACAGTAATTGACCCTTCGGCCCCTAAGAAGCCCCTGTTAGAACTGCCAGTGAATGGCTCAAACGGAGTCAATGGGATAAATGGGCATCATCATGACCCAGCATTCAACGACGAGGCCACGAAGATGGGAAGCTGGGGAGTCAACGGTGCTTCCACAGCTGATGCCGGAGAAGACCTTCTTGAGGGTGACCTGACGCCCAACCGATCTAAGCGCCAAAGGGCAGAAGTTAACTACAACGTGAGGCAACTATGGAACACGGCCGTGGGCAAGTCGCCGAGGAAACGGAAAAGAGACGACGATGAACAACATCCCCAACTAGACGAGCACTCCGTCACCTACGTTCTGCCGCCCGGAGAAGGGGGCGAGTCGAAGGTGTTCCCTTCCAACAATCTCTCCTGCCTCATATGCGCGGCCGAGCACGAGCGCATCAGCCAGCTCCGCGCTCACTTCTCATGCCACCCTGAACTTGAGTTCAAGTTTGAGCAGAAGAAGGGCATGTACATGGTTGAAGTCCAGAAAGCCCCTGGAAAGACCTCAGCCACCGCGGGATCCCCCTTAAAACCCGCGGCCGGCAAGATCATATACTCGCTGGGTCTTCCCGTAAAACCCCTCGATCTCTTCAAATTCGTCGACGGCGACGATTCCTGGGTTAGATCCCGTCTCTTGCCCGATCATGGCGGGTACAAGATTCCTCCTCTCCCAGCCAGCAGCCGAAGTCCAACCAAGGGACCACATCCTCAGCAACAACAACAACAACAACAACAACAACAACAAAAGGAAAAGGAAAAGGAAAAGGAAAAGGAAAAGGAAAAATCTCTCTCCGCCATATCCACCTCCACCTCCACCCGCAGCCGCGGCGCCGTCCCCAAAGAGAAACCCCAAAAGAAACCCGTCTACGTCCCCCTAAACATCAACCGCCCCATCTACGACCCCTTATCCAAAGTCGAGCTCGCCCCGGGCTCCCTGATCCAGCCCCCGCCCTTGGACGAAGGCTGGCTGATCACCAAGCACGCCGACGCCCTGGCGGAGTTTTCCGACGTCGAGCCGCAAGAAAAAGAATACATGATGCAGTGGGACGCCTACATCCTGCAGAAACACATGGGCTCGGAGCTGTACCTGCCGCGAGAGTTCCGCAGGTTCGTCCAGGAAAAGGCCAAGTGGCTGCTAGAGAAGAGGTGCAGAACGGAGGAGCTGGGGAAACATATGGCGACGCTGTTGGCGAGGCGGTATCTTGATGATGCGACGGTTGTGGCGGTGACGAAGGAGTTGAATGAGGTTAGGAGGAGTATGGCTGCTGAGGGTGGTGGTGGTGGTGGTGCTGCTGCTGGTGCCAGTGGCGATGCACAGAAGAAGAGTGGGCTTGAAGTACAACAACAGCAGCAGCAGCAGCAGCAGCCTAGTAGTGGTGGGAAGAAGAGTGCCGCGGGCGGGTGTGCGAAGTGCGGAGAGGTGGTGCCGCAGCCTGAGATGATGATTTGTTGTAATAAGGTGAGTTCTTTTCCATTTTCCCTTTCCCCCCTTTCAATCCCCGGTTCAGAACCAAGTCACTAACATGAGACAAAAATCAGCATTGCAAACAACGCATCTATCACAGCCGATGCGTGCCGAATCCAGAGGAGGCTCTGGAATTAGGCAGGAAGAGGATGTGGAAGTGCTCTCAATGCGAGGCAGTGGACCATTAGAAGTGGCCAGCAGCCCGATGATGAAGCCGAAGCTGAAGCCAAAGTCGAAGTCAAGGTGGAAAGCAGCTTGCCACACGAGACTTTCATAGGGGACCGCAAAGTTGATGGTGAATACCCAGAAGTAGGAGGATGTTCAAAGGAGAGAGGAGAGGTTTTATATATAGGTATTGCCTGCTTGTTAACCTTCTTGCACACAGCTTGGAATACGGTGCGCTTGGAGACGTAGAAAATATTAGGAGTAGCAACGTATTAGCTGAAGACCTATCTTTATACACGGGTTATGTGCTGAGCGTCGTTGGAATTATATATCAAGTAAGCTTCATATATAGGTACCCACCATATATGCTTGCCATTACTGCCTGGGGGAGATTCACCTATCTATCTATCTATCTATCTATCTCTAGGATCTTAACCAAGTTCCATACAGCTGAAACACGAAGTTTTATAATTGAAGCTCGTCCTACAAAGTTCCAGCCCATTGTGCAACCTTCCTTGTCTTTCACCACATCTACTTGTAGCCCTATTTGTACAGCTCAGATCATCAGATCAGCATCCTGCGTTGTCCATACAGTTATGGTATGGTATGGCTTTAGACCACCCGACGTTAAGAAGGTCTTGAACATTGCCCTTGCCAGCGTATTATGTCAGCAACAAACAGCCTGCAATGGCAAGTTGACAAAGAACAAGCGAACCACCCAAAAAATTTTAATAAAAATTAAAAATTAAATTTTTATTTTTTTTGCCAACCAACCACGCCCGTTGGGTGATAATCCACGCATGAAGTCAAGTGGTGATGGATCTCTATCACTTCTCGACTTTAGTAAATACACATCACCATGTTATATGCTGTACATTGGTTCTTGCACATATCGTTGTGTGTTGACCATCATCACTACGTGGCAGGGAGCAGGTAGACGGTCATCACCCATGTATATAGGTATCACACGCTTAAGACGCAGAGCAGAAGCACTTTTGATCCATATCCATTCCCATACCCATTTATACCAATGCCAATCCCAACCTCGAACTGAATACAGTCATTTCAGAGTAAGGTAACTTAACCCTACTATGAACAAATGCCAAAAAAGGGAGAGAAAAAGAAAAACCCCATTACGTACCGTTCAGTATACATTAACTTTCCTTTATAAACCATCCATTCTATCCATGTATGAGACATGCAACTCGTGCCATTTCTTTTGCATGGAACAACTAAATAGTATACTACACGTATATAACAATCAACCTGAACTCCTCCCCCTAAGATACCTAACCACACCATGACAATACTATACTATACAATCCATCACAATGCCTCCCAGCCTAGCACATCCCATTCCCTCAATCAACTTATCTCTACACCGCGATCTTCCCCCGTCCATCCTCATCAACAACAACCTTCCTAACCCTCGCCTCCTCCGTCCCTCCCTTACCCATCCCTGCCACCTCGAACCCCATGCCCCTCCTCCCTTTTTTGCGGGCTGCCTTCCCTCCAGCATCCCCATACTGCTCATCAAACTTCCTAATAGCCTTCAAGCTCTCCATATCCTCACTAATACTGGCACTAATCTCCCGCATGCCCTTTTCAAAGTGTTTCCTGGTTAGGACTCTCTTCTCCGGGAATTCGTACGGTGGACCACCATCACCATCGGGGTTTGCAGCATCATGCGCCTCTTTCGCTCTGCATTCCTCACGCACGGCCTCCATGGCTGCGCTGACGCATAGGTTTTTCAGGTCAGAGCCTGAGTAGAGATCTGTTTCCTTGGCTAAAGCATCGAGGTCGACGTCAGGAGATAATTGCTCCTCGCGCAACATGACGCGCAAGATTTTGGCGCGCTCGGCTACCAAAGGCAGGTCGACGAGGATTTTCCGGGGTAAGCGGCGGAGCACGGCCTCGTCTAGGTCAAAGGGGCGGTTGGTGGCGACCATGATGAAGGCGCGCATGTCGGAGAGGCCGTCCCACTCGCGCAGGAACTGCGTGATGGTTTCGCGGTGGGCGGTGCGGCCGGGGTTATTATGTCTGGCGCCCAGCAGGGCGTCGGCTTCGTCGAGGAAGATCACCATTGGTGACAGCTTGCGGGCTAAGGAAAAAAGGGCGCGCACGTTCTTCTCGGATTGGCCGAGCCACATATCGTTGATGGAGGCCGCGGATACTTCGAGCATGTTGGCGCCGGACTCCTTGGCCACGGCCTTGGCGAGGAGGGTCTTGCCTGTTCCGGGCGGGCCATACAGTAGACAGCCGGGGATGCGCTCGGTTTTGAGCACGCCGTAGGCGAAGGCGTCGGGCCGTTGGAGGGAGAGGGAGGTCAGCCCGATGAGAGACTCTTTGGTCTCGGCGGGGACGATGATGTCGTCGAAGGTGGTGTGGATGTCCTTGGCGTTCACGAGGCCGGCTAGAAGCTTCTTCTCGTGCTGGTCGTAGTCCTTGTTGTCGCCGTTGTTCTGGCTTTGGTTGGACCATGACGAAGCAAAGCCCGAAGTGGGTGAGTCGCCGCCGTCTGGCGTGGGCTGGTCAAACATGTTGCTGCTTGAACCACCACCCTTTTGACGGAAGAGGGGGGAGAAGTAAGGAGGACGGATGCCCGAGTAGATGCCCTTCCAGTGGTTGTCGCGGTCGCTCATGAAGGCCAGGGCGTATTTGAGGTGGCCGAGGCCGTACTTCTTGGGAGGCGGCGACCGGCTGCCCAGCAAGAGGGAGGTCAACCGGTACACCCATTGGACGTCAAACACATGCTTTGACAAAGTCTGGAACAAGTCGGTGTATCTTTCGTCTACAAGGACCTGGTCATCTTGGAACTTGATCTGGGCATCAAAGTCAATAGCAGCTGGAGTGAGCAGCCTTGCCTCCAGCATGCTCTTGATGTTGTTGATGTTGTCGTAGAGGTTATCCTTCCGGTCCATCCACTCGGTAGACGGGGAGGCGTGGAAGGGGATGATATGATGGCCCTCACGGCCGAGCTCGACCAGATGATTGCGCCAATGCTGCGACTTCTCCATGTCACTAGATGAAGAGCCAACTAGCACAATCTTCTTTCCGTCCTGCGCGGCCTCCTCGAAGTGCCAGTCATCGACAATGTCCCGTAGCCTGGTCATCAAGCTTTCTTGCAGTTCACTGATTTCTACATAGTCGTGCAGATGAATGATCAGGTCACGCTTCTCATAACTGCCCGTCTGCGCAAACCGCTTAGCGTCAGCCGCCCTCACGATCGCCTTGAGCGTGTTCTGTATCTTCAGTCCTTCCCAGCGTGGGTCGACAGAGCGCGAGGTTCCAAAGTCCTTGCCGGAGCTGAGGAAGGACCGCAACTTGGACGGCATGGACACGTGCAGAACACCCACGTCGCCATCCGAGTCAGCATCGTCCCTGTTGGCAAGTCTTCCGTTGATCTCCGAAGCGGCATATCCCAGCATGGAAACCGAGCCCCGGACATTGTGGATGTTCTGCTGCAGCTGCGTCCCAAGCAGCCTGGCCAAGCTAAACGCATCCAGGTGTATTACGTCCGCCTTGAGGTCGGTGGCAATGTCATCAATGACATGGTTGGCAACACTACGACCCCTGCGGTTCACCACCGAGAGCACCGTCGTGAGCCGGTGGTAGTCAGGTGGCTTGCTCCCATGCGTCACATCCGCCACCAGCTCGGCGCGTACAGCAGCCAGAAGCTCCATCATGACAGGATACTCGGGATCCGGCCTGCTGGCCAGGGGACTACCGTGTAGCGCGCCAGAGCCAGGCTGGGCCTCGCATCGCAGGTTGGCCAGCCAGCGCTGCGCCTCGCCAGACAGCGGCTTATCCGACCACCACAGCAACCGAACAATATCGTCCTCCCTAGAAGAATGATGCTTGCGCAACAGCTCGATATGCTCCGGGTTCGCGCCCGTCTGGTGGACGATAGCCAGGGTCTGGAGAAACGCCGTGTTGTGCGCCGCATGCGCCTTCTTGAGCAGCTGGCTGGCGGACTCGGGTAGTTGCTCGAAGGCGGCGTCGCGCTCCTCCTCGGGCAGCCGGACTAGCTCGTCCAGCATGCTTGTCCACGAGTTGACGTCCTCCTCTGTCACCTGGACCTTGTCGAACTTCTTCTCCAGCAGCTCCAGCACGGCCTCGCGGTCGACGTCTTCGAGCGGGAACAGCAGGGTTTGCGGTGCGCCGATGGGTCGCGCCTCGTAGAGAGACACGTTTTGTTCGATGAACCAGGGGTCGAGCTTCACCCAGGGCGTGCTTGGGGTGCTGCTGTTGCTGCTGCTGCTGCCGTTGGCTTGTGGGTGGACGGTGTTCTCGATGCCGTTGAGGCCGCTCATCCTGCCGGGCCGTTGGCGTCCACGGGTTCCCTTGAGACTAAGGGCTTCCTTGTAGGCATCTTCGGCGGCTTTTGACTCTGCTGCAGCATTCTTCTTGTCGGCGTCCTCTTGAGAGGTGGTGGTGGTGGTAGTGGTGGTAGAAGATGCGGGCTTGTCTCGTTGTGTCTTGTGGTCGTCTTCGGTCGCGGTACTACTGCTCGGCTTCTTATCGTCGACTGAGTTCGAGTTCGAGTCGGGGTCGTTTTTGAGGGAGGCCGCAGAGGTGCGGAAGCCTCTTACGGAAGAGGCATGCTGGCGACGGGATAGGGAACCGGAGGAGTTATTCGTGGCGGAGCTGGAACCGGTAACGGCGACGGCAGCAGCGGAGACGGCGCGGGGCAGTCGGCGACAACAGGAGGATTGCGCCGACAGCAGGGCTCGGGCCCCGGCAACAGGCATTGGGAGGTATCAATTGGGGTGATTGGCAACTCTCATAGGTTGTATTAAGTATGTGAGGTGTGTCGAGATGCGTACTGAATATGTTGCAGTTAACCGGCAGCCGTTCGCTATGTGTGCTCGGGGGATAATAGTACATGTGATTGCGTCAGTGGAAGGGTGAGGTTGATGTTAGGTCGTGGATGGTGGGATGGAATGATTGCGGTTACGCGATGCAATGGAGCTTCTACTGGACCTGGAGCTTCCCGTCCGCGCCCTATGACGGGACCGCGATGTCCAATGGAGGATTTCCACGCCTTAACTGTCATCAGTTGCCGGCCGGCAATTGGGCCCGCTAAAACTCACTGAAGCATCCCTGGCAGCCCGCCTGTCATCCGTGCTTGAGGTTGTTGATAGCAGTAACCTAACAACACAGGCATATAGAAATATCACGACGTTGGACAGCAACGTTTTCAGAATCGGAGCTTGAACCATCTTATTTCAATGATCCATCTATTATCATTCCACTATCCAAGAGCCGCTCCAACGCTGACATACCCGTTTTGACCGGTTTTCAACACATCGTCCAAAACTCCATGCGGATAATCTCTAGAACCATCATGACAACCTCAACACCCTTTGCCCTGCCCAGCCCAGCCCAGCCCAGCCTAGAGGTAGCCTAAACTAAACCAAGCCATAAAACATCTCATCATCCCACAACCTCTTCCTCCTTTCCCTCCTCTTCTGGCAATCGAGTGCTGTTGTATCACCACTCATCCACTCACCCAACCTCCACTCTCCAAGCCGGGCATATAGATCCCGCAGCAGCTCCTCTCTATCCCTAACCGTGTAGCCTGTCCCTTGGCTTCTAGCCGGAGCGGCGACGGCACCAGCACCAGTAGCAGTAGCAGTAGCAGTAGTAGTAGACTGCGTGCTTGACGGTAACTGTTGTTGCTGCTGCTGTCCCTGTCCAGGGTACGGTACTCTCGCGGAGCCGGAGCCACCGCCGGCACCAGCAGCAGGAGCAGCAGTAATCCGTGTAGTAACCCGACCCTCGGATACGATCCAGTTATTCGACATATCCCTGGCGATCGAAGTGACATGCCCTTGCACACGCGGGTTAACCACCCTCGCCTGGCCCTGCTGCTGATGGTGGGAGGAAGACGTGGAAGATGACCGTAGACCTCTGAGAAGGGACTCGACCCGAATGAATCCGTTGTTGTCTTGATTTTCCACTTGCACTTCCACAACGTCGTCGGGGCGTTCTTCTTCCAGATCCAGATCTAGATCTAGACCCAGACCAGCAGCCGCTCTTCTTCGCCGGCCTTGGCCCTCTGGCTTTGGCTTTGGCTCTGGGAAGATATACTGTCGGATACACTCCCTCGCCGCACCAAACAGCTTCGAGACCACCTGAACCATGTCCGCCAGTGCCTTCACCTCCCCCTTCTGTTTCTTTCCATGGCTAAACACTATCGGAATAATGCTCGGCTGCAGCGCAAGACACAACGCCACCAGTTGATTCAACACCGCCAAATCCCTCCTCTTTACCTCCTGCCCCCTTCCAGTTCCTATCCTCCCTCGCTTCTTCCATAACTCCTCACACCACCACACTACACTCCTCAAAACTTCAACAACATGCACCTCCACATCCTCCCCGCTCAACTCCCTCGGCACACAACTCCTCGTCAACACGCCCACCACCGCACCCGCATAACACTCCAACAACACCTCTTCGGATCCAAACTCACCCTCTTCTATTCCCTCTCCTCGATCCTGATCCTGACCCACCCTATGCCCCGCAACCCTCACAACAACAGGCACCATAATCTCCAACATAAACGTCATGAACTCCCTGGCGCCCGTCATCTTGACATCCCCCAGTGCCCTCTCCAGAATCCCCCTCTCCTCAGAAAGGCCATCATTAGCCAACGCCACCTTAAAGTTATTAAACAAATACCAAAACAGCTGACTAGAAGTAGCAGCCGGCGCCTCCCTCTCGGACAAGCGCACGCCGTAGGCCATTATCCCCGCCGTGTGCAGCTGCGGGTCCTGCAAAGGCGGGGAGTACGAGTCGGAGGGCGTGAGGAAGAAGGAGTCGACGACGACGATGCCGACGCCGTGCGATTTGATGAGGGAGATGATGGCGTGGGTGAAGAGCATGTAGTTTTGGTGTTCTTCTTCTGTGGAGATTTTGGGGTCGGAGCAGCGGAGGAGGGAAAAGTCTTCCTTGATTTTGGTCATGGCTAGTTGCAGGGTTTGGGAGAATTCTTCTCTTTGGCGGCGGATGGATTGGGCGGATGATGATGATGATGATCCGACGACGGAGGCTGATGGGGTTGCACCTGGCGCTGGCGTGGACGCGCCTCCTCCTCCGCGGAGAGCCTTGCGCATGTAGTGGATCGCGCGCGAGAAGAGGTCTAGATGGATGTTGTAGTCTGGCGTCATGCCGGCTGAGACGTCGGCCCCTATGAGAAAGGGGAGGCCGCGCTGTTGGAGGACTTCGGCGAAGTAGGTCTCGTAGCCGAGGAAGCGCATGGGCTTGATGATGGACTGAACCCAGAGGGAGAGGATATTGGTCTCGATGTCCTTGAAGTCGAAGACGTTCTTCTTGACGAGAGTGGCGATGAAGAGCGGGAGCCATCTCCTCTCCGGGCCGGTCATGTTCTCGGGGATGTCGGGGAAGAGTCCGTACTTGCCGGGCTGGAAATACGGCAGCACCTGGGTCACTCGCTCCTGGATGAACCGGGCGGCTAGTTTGGCAGCCAGCGTCACCGTCTTCTCCGTACAGGCGACCTGCTCGGTTTGCTTGCCAAAGGTTGTGAGTGCCTTCACTGGTAAGGCGAGCAACTCCCTGGCCATCCAGAAGAACTCCTTGGTGAGCTTCTCGCGAAGCAGCAGAATCGCGTCCTCCAACTGGGCAGGGTCGATATCCGCACTAGACTCATTGCTAGAGTACTGCTCCTCGGAAGACCTTTCGATCCAGCCCAGGAAGTGCTCGTGGGTATCAAGTGCCACATTGAGGATACCCCAGTCAAAGCCCGGAGAGCCAAAGTGCAGGGTAGTACACAACTTTTGCAACTGAGTGACGTTCAACGTGTAGATGGTTGCCTCGAGGGTTTTTGCGTGCTTGAGCACATCGAGAGACGCTCTGGCTGAAGCGTGAAGAATGTCCAGGGCCGTTGCTTTGTTTTTCGTGATCAACTCATCCCGCCACGCCGCATCAATGCTCCGCATACTTTCTGCAGAGAGCGCCCTGAACTGCTGCTCGATATCGGACTCCGCAGACATGTACTGGTCGAGGATCTGGTTGAAAACGTTGTTCCTCCATGTGGAAAACGGTCTGAATGCAGCGCTACCCTCACAATTAGACACAACGAGGCGGGCGAGCTGACTCCATGCTCGGATATTAATCAGGCAAGCCTCCTTGTGAGCATTGCTAGGCGTGATCAGTCGCTCTATCAAGTCAACGCGCGGCCTGAGATCCGGTGGGGCAGCCCAGAACAGGGTGCATAAGAGATCATGATGGTTCCTTAAGGCTGCAAGGTCTCGTTCATGTATTGTGTCCTCCTTGAGATACTGCCGGTCATGGTTGGGAAGCGTCCTTGCTACCAAGTTTCGGATATCCTTTGTCCGGCCCAGTTGCTTGAGATGCTGAATGGTCAGAGCCAACAGCTTGATGAAGATGTGAAAGCACCGATCTTCCGGCTCAATGGCCAGAGAAGGGCCATCAGCTAGCTCTTCCAGGAAGCGAGGGGACTTGTAGACCTGCTCATTCCTGAGGTGGCAGAGATTTTGCGAGCCGAAGAAGTCGAAAATAGTGCCAATGACTCCAGTGCATCTGCGCCAGCCCCATTGTTGAACGAGGAAGTAGCAGCGGCCGATCAAAGCCCGACAGTACTCGTTGAAGCTAGGGGACTGACGCTGGTTGGACTTGTACAGCTCGAACACGCGCTTCATAAGCTTCTGAGGGAGTGTCCAGCCCTCCAAAGGAACGGTGTTTCGCAGCCCTGGAAGCAGAATACCCATGTTGTCAATCTCGCCCAGAGGCAACAGGGTGAACATGTCCTGCCAAAGTTGCTCAAACACCTGGGCATCTGACCCGGACAAAACCTCAGGCGTGAGCATTACTGAATGAACAACATCCCAAAATGTACTCCGCGGAATACCGGCGCTTTCTAGCGTATGCATGAGAACTACCCATGATACAGCGAGCACCTGGTTCGGCCGGATACCGCGTTCTCTGAACGAAGGACGCTGTAGATCGCCATATAGAGTCCTGACATCCTCAAGCTCACAGCTCAGCGCTCCAGTGATGGCAATTTTAGAAAGCTTGGTGAGAAGTCCTTCAAGCTTCATGTTTTGTAAGAGGTCATCGCCAGATGACTGTGCCATCAGGTATACTGGGAGCATTGCCAAGCACACGCGGGTAGCTATATCCAGGGAGGTCTTTTTGGTCTGCTCGGGCAACGGCCCCCAGTCAAGCGCCTCGAACCGACCGACGAAGCTCGCCATGACTTCCGACCATCTGGACACAAATGCCTTTTGGCCGATGTCATCCTGAACCCGAAGTGCATCAAGGACATACTCCATGACAAAGTTAGCTGCATCGATAGCTTGGCGACCTGCGAATTCCGTATCATCCTTACTTCCGGCTTCGAGCTGCTCCGCCACCCAGTCGACAAGTATACCAAGCTCTGATGAAACTTGATCATCCCACATGCCCCAGTTAAGTGACTGTCCTTGGAAGAGAAAAGACGCAGCTGGCCTTGGTCGACGAATCCTCTCCCTGAACCTGGCCTCGGTTGCCTTTTTGACATAGCCGCGCCCGATGATGGTGCTCTCATGGAAGAACGTGCCATGATCAAGCGGGAAGATTTCAAAGTGGTGAGTATATTGTGTACCATACTGCCCCAACCCACTGAGTTTGTCGATGTCTTTTGTCTTGGCCTGTTCCTCAACCATGGCGAAGCCAGCCGGCAAAGGATCATCTGCCCGGGTGTACTGCGGCGCTTCAACGTCGACTTGCTGAGGCGCTCGTCTCTTGCGGTACCGGGATTTGTCGTTTGCGGCCTTGGGCTTTGGAACGACTGGTGCAACCTCAGTGACAGAATCGTCCTGTCCTTCCAAAACGAATGATTCTGGCGACGTAGCTCTGCCCTCATCAAGAACACGCTCCAAGAGATCAAGACTCGGTGGGCGCTGTGCTTTTCGGTCTTGCCTGAACAGAGCATCAAGCGATCGTTTCTTGTTCTTAAGCCGTTTCTGCGTATCCTCGTATATGCTCATTTCTAGCTGCGCCTGTCGCATGGCCGGGCCGCGTTCAGAAATCGTAGTTCGTGACGGCTGCCTCGACATTGACCTTAACCCATCCGAATTGTTCGTCGTGGGTTTCCTTACGCTGGCTTTTTTGACAACCAGCTTTCGCGGGACCAGTGAGGAAGGTAGTGGTTGAGTTGATGAAGGTTGGCGTTCCACATTGTTGGATACTTCCCTAAGTACTGCTCTACTAGTCTTTGGCTCAGGTCTCTTCCTTGGTGGCGCTGCAACTCGTGGCCGTGTCTTGCCGGACTTCCAGTCCCGAAGAGTAGAGAGTGCATCAATATTATCCTGTCGGTTAGCGAACCTGATAGCCTTTCTGGTGGGACTGCTCTTCCCCAAATCCGTCCTTTTCTTGACAGAACGAGCTGCGATCTTGAGGAACTTTGGAGCATTGGGCTCAATGACATCCAAAATACTGAGAAGCGGCGGTATTGCTGCTCTCTTTCTGGACCTAGGTTTTGCGGTTATACCACCTCTTGGCTTGCGGGAAGATTTTGCCGTGCCCTTAGCCGACGGTAAGGCGCCAGATGCACTCTTTGACCTAGAGAACGACTGGGTTATCCTGGGTTGCCGGGTGGCTTTACTGATCTTTGGCTTCTTTGCGCCCCGTGACAGACTGGGAGAGCCAGCCCTCTTCCTTCGCCCAGTTAGCATAGCATCGATGGAGTCTTCCTCGATCATGAAGCCATCGTCATCATCATCTAGAGTTATGATCTGACGAGTAGGCCGTGTTGGACTAGATCGACTAACAGCCGGCGCCCTGGCTTGAGGTTGAGTTGCCTCTTCTTCGGATTCATCACCAAAGTCGAACGGGAACTGGGTCGCAGATAGCCTTTTCGGGGAAGTCTGTTTTGGAAGAGCAACGCCTTTTCGATTGAGTCGATCTATCGGGGGTTCATGATCCTTTTTGGCATTGTGACGAGCAGCGGGTCCATCTTTCTTCTGGTCCAGTCGTAGCCATGATGCCGGCAGCACACCACGAATTTTCCGGCCAGTCTCGCGAACGACATCAGACTCACTGTCGGAGTGACGTAGCGCAGACAAAGATTCCAAGTCACTATCTTCGCTAGCAGGACTGTCGCTATCGTCTCTGGTGAATATGGGGGGTCCCACTGGTTCTTGAAGTGATCCGACGGGCTGTACGGGTCCTGTACGAGAGGCCGAAGGGGATTTTGCCAGTCTCCGGTGGTCTGGTGGTTGCGTAAGACCTAGATCCTGTGATGACTCGACAGGCGCCCGTGGGATAGTTGGAGACGGTGAAAGGTCCCATATTGACACTGGCGGTAGCCTCAAACCTCCAATTGGAGACACGGTTACTGGAGAATTAGAAACAGTCTTTTGTTTTTTGCGCTTCGCTGACAGAAGATTCGAGCTTTGTCGCTTTAGAAGTCTCTTGTGTGCCTCGGATCTAGGTTGGAGTTGGTCCAAATCAGGGAACTCGTCCTCATCGGATAGGGCCGTATTATCCGTCTGGTTACCACTGTTTAACCCGCTACTAGCACGTAAATGGCGAGCCGGTGACGACGTCTTTAACGGCGAAGGCGATAGAGCTAACTCATCATCGTCATCCCAAAGGATTGGCCCGCTTTCTTCTGTGACCTGTGAGGGTTCACCCCGAGTTGTCTCTTGGCTCTCTTCCTCAAAAAAATCCTGCTCTTGCGAGTCCTCCTCGTGAGTCTTCTTTTTACGCTGAGAATCTTCCAAGACCACCTTGATAGGTTTGATGCCATGAGACTTCATGACTTTTGCGTACCGAACGTTTTCCAGGAGATATGGATGCTGTTGGATAGGCTTCCGCGGGCGGAGAGCACGTCGTCCGGTCGTGTGTTTGCCATCTTCCTGATCACCAAGTGCAGATCCATCGCTCCGGGGCTGATCGGATACAGCTTGCGATACTTGGCGTGGCCTAGGTATAATCGTTCCGTTCAAGGAGGGTGACGAAGGGATTGTAGTAGGTTCCTCCCTAGTTGGGCTCTTCGGTACGTCATCCTTCAAGTATGCTTCCCTCCCAGGTATCGTCTGTGGTATCCTAACCTTCAGAACCGGCAAATCCGAGTTTTTCGCATCTTGGGGTTGAGATAGAGAGGGTAATGACCAGATGTCGCTTTTTGCAGGAGACAACGGGGAGTCTTCTTCGTCATCGGGCTTTTCGCTTGGTACGGGGCTCACTTTGCGTGGAGGTTCGGTCACGGCCTGAGGAGATGGAGGTTGTATGGGCGAGTTTTGTATTATTGGAGAGCTTGGAATATGCCAAATGTCCTCCACAACCGTCTTTGGCTTCCCCGAAAGCTGAGGCTCGCCCTGGGGCGCTTTCACGATGCCGACGTCTTCCGGCGCAGCGCTCTTTCGTCCTTCGACTGGTGGAGCATCTTGTTCCTTTTCATCCTTCCCAACGGAACTGATAACCGGGGTTTCGGGAAGCTTGACAGTTCGCGTCTCGGGCTCGCTAATGATCAGGTCCAAGTTGTCGATATCGATATCATCATCGTCGAAGCTGCTGTCGTCGTCCTCGTCCGAACCCGGCACTTCGCCCAATTCCCTCCAGTTTTTCATGACTTTTGCTGTTCATGTCGTCGGGGACATTCTTTCGTCGTTCGGGTCTCGTTCGCAGGGCAACTCGATGGATGGGAGGCGAATGGCTGGTCGTCTAGGCAGGCAACAAGGTATGCTTTCAAAGCTGAGACGCGTCTAACAAACACTGAGAGACGCGCCGTGGAAGAGCAAGTGGTCTGTGCGCTGGCTGTGTTTAATGATTTTCAATTGCCCACGCGTCATTGCTTGCATGCACCGAGCCGGGGTTAAACAGACAGTGCACCGGCGGGATGGAGCTGCCGTGTGCTACCGTTGTTGCCGTTGCAGGGACGGACCCGACGAAACGCTGGAAGCTTTGCAAGGGGCTCGGCGTTCTCGAACTGCGGAAGGTCCAGATCGAATTTAGAGTTTGATATTCAATCCGGTCAACTGAGTGACAGTCATCAACCAAAAGACATAAAAGTCAACAACCAAAACAAGTCAAGATGCTCAATGGCAAGAAAATCATCACCATTGGTTTGGTAACAACCATTGGCATCGTAAATGGTTCGACCTCCTTGATTTAGATATATAAGAAGAATGAGACCTGACATCTCTGCAGGATACTACACATTTGCCCCCAGTCTCCAGGCGGAGAAGGAAAAGCGTGAAGGTCTAAACCTTGGGTGAGAAGATGAGCTTTAGAATATTGAAATTTGTCAAGATTGAGTAACTGACATGGCAACAGTCCCGCGGCCAAGCCCTCCCCGTATGAAACCAAGAAGCAAGAGACCGAGAGGAAGGAATGAGATAGAATATTAGCATGAAGATGAGAAAGCATATACCATAACCTCATGGGCCAAGGCATAAGGCATCTCTGAGAGAGAAATGTTGACGCAACGCTGGTCCAATTCCTCGGTTACTCAAAAATGATGAAAGATTGAGAGAAGGGGTTTGAGAAGCAGTATCACGGCTTCACTTCCGTTCTGCCGAATAACAACGCTTGGTCGATCTCAACTGTTCTCACGGCGAATAGCTCGACATCTCTCTAGGGTCTCGATGGGTTTAAAGACCCTGTCGTGTATCCCACTCTGGGAAAGCAAACAATGATCTTTGTGAGACCTTGAAGATGTCGGGTTGAGTTAAAGTGCAGCATCACATCTGGCATGTGAGTTCCGTTTCTTAGTTGCGCTTCAGTTAGCCACGAATCGTCATCATCCAAAAGTCAACAACACCTCAAAAGGACAAAACGTCCATGGTGTGGAAACCGAGCGGTCCGTTGCCAGCTGTCAAAGGTATGGGATTGCAGGTGCGGGGCTCCGTTTCTGAGCGCCAGACTCGCAAAAGACACTTGCCAGGCAGCCCTGGACAGCCTGCCGTGAATTGGCTCCGGGAAGATACGGGGCCCCAAGCTTGCTGTGACAGTCTGATAGCGCTCTGGTTTGGGGGTGTTTTCCCACTGGCGGGCACTGCATTTCACAATGGAAAGTGGGCATCAGGCCATCCCCATTCCTCGAGTTCCGAGCTGAGGCCGCAAGCCCGTTTCGCCTACGAATCCCGTTCGCCCAAAAAAAAGCTCGTCCTTGCATGACTTCACTCCTCGCACAAAATCACCGTCGACGAACGAGCTCCAGACTCCGACCACGCACGCGGGCGACTCAATTGGACCCATCTCCACTCCCGACTTCCATCCTCCCCGACTATCTCTGACCTGACAAACCGCCGTCACCATGCTTCGCACTCCTACCGTCTCGGCCCTCGTGCGCAACGTCGCCGTTCGCGCCGCTAAGCCCACCGTCGCCGTCCGCGCCGCTTCCACCACCGCCATCTCCAACCCCACCCTCGCCAACATTGAGAAGAGATGGGAGCAGATGCCCATGCAGGAGCAGGCTGAGCTCTGGATGGCTCTCCGCGACCGCATGAAGGAGAACTGGGCCGAGCTTACCCTCCAGGAGAAGAAGGCTGGTAAGTGAGAAAGCTGAGGTTGAAGAGAAAGGTTGGCGAAATGCCGGGTGGAGCTCGATCCGTCCAAGCTCCGAGCTAGTTGCATCACCAACGCCCCAAACGCCCCCGAAGCTCCCCCCGTCACCCGCACTCTGCGACAACCCCGAGCTTCAAACAAGCTTCACGAGCTCCAGAACAGCTTTGGGATCGTTGGTCGGAAATGGATTTTGCCAGTTTGGAGGTTATCGGTTGATTGCTGTGATGGGTGTGGCGGGGAAGCTGGGATGAGGCCGAGGAAATTCATGGTTGCGCTACATTTGGAGAAGGAGAAGAGGAGGGAAAGCTCCGACGACAAGCAACACCATGATGATCACCATCGAGGTCGTCTCAAGAGACATACGCAGTGTCCAGACCACAGAAAGACTGACATGCACTTCTCTCCCAACGCAGCCTACTACATCGCCTTCGGTCCCCACGGCCCCCGCGCTCTCCCCCCTCCCGGTGAGCAGAAGAAGGTCTTCGCCTACACTGCCGCTGGTGTCCTCCTCTCTTTCGTCATCTTCGCTACCATGCGCTCCTTCGCCAAGCCCGCTCCTTCCACCATGACCAAGGAGTGGCAGGAGGCTACCAACGAGTTCCTCAAGGTGCGTTTATCAGCAGCTGTTTGTGAGAAAACAGATCAACTAACAACACATAAACAAAACAGGCCCAGAAGTCCGACCCCCTCACCGGTCTCACCTCCGAGGGCTACAACGGCAAGGGCCACGTTCAGTCTCCCTCTGCCAACGCATAAATTTCCCACATTTCCATTTGTGCTTAGGGGTAGAATCTTCCCCCGGTCTCTCGGATATCGACCATGTTAAACGAGTCTGGGAGGATCGGGGGAGAGGACAGTGGTGGTGGCATTGGAATGCTTTGGGGCGCTTAACACTTGGGTGGTGTGTAAATACTGTACAGCTGACAATGCATTATCATTTCCTATAGCCGGAAGCTTCGTTTTGATTCCCGATGTGAAAGGCGGGCTATGGAAATTGAGAAGACACAACGGGGTGATAGGAATAGCTGGATTTGCTCAGTGAAAGTATGCTCCTGGATATCGAGGTGGATGAGCGGTTAGAACGAGGTGGTTCGAGGTGGCTCGGTGTAGTTCGAGAGTTATAGAGATGACAGGCAATTTTACGTGAGAGTCTGCGAGATTTGAGATTCCAGCAGCTCTAGAGACGGCGCTTCTTACCCCCTACTAGGAGCCCCCTTCGAATTGGCACTGTTTGTTTGTTTGTTTACTTGACATGGGAAGAAAAAGGGGTAAGCTACCCTACCTCCTGCTCCCAGCACCCACCCGTATCTCTGTAGTCCCTACTCCTGATAAGAGTCACGATGAGTTCCGTCCACAGAGGCTCAACATCAGCCTTCGAATGGGCACGTCATGGTCCTTCGTCCATATGCTCATGCTTGCTGTGGTAGACGTGGTCAATCCTCCTCTATTTCACTAGACTACCCAAGTTGCTGTATTCAATCCAGATCGCTGCACTGCATCTCTCACCCGAACTATTCTTCCCGGCAAGCATCTCATTCAAGCAATCTTCTCAATGCTTTGTTAGCTGACTTCTGTCCCTCGTTTTCTGTCATATACTCATCTTCCGCTTGCCTCGATTACATCCGTCTGATGCGTTGCACAACCGCTGGTCTCAAAGCCAGAACAACTGTCCGTATGCGGGATCCATATCTCAAAATATGTCCATACCTCTAGTTCTACTCATCTGTTCCGACCATAACCGCGCTCATCTTGCAGCCCTCGTCAAGACCCTCGACGCCCGTTCCCGCGAGCAATCTCAGACCGGTGCTAAGTCCATCGTGCTGGTCCTTCAGATCGCCGAGGACATTGGCGGCGTCTACCCCGGCTGAGTTGCCCACGAATACCATAAGCTAAGACATCACCTCGATCAGTTGTCATCTATTAAAGACACAAAGATAGGTTTAGCCCATATCAAGCTCCTACCTATATGGAGCGAAAAATCTTGCTCCTTCCACACGTTGAGAGAAGTTAGGACTCCAAACCAGCTCCCGCGATGCCTGCACTATACTTTATATGGCCATCTCGATGGAATCAACCTCACGATCGTCGATCCGAACAAAACACATGATCAAAAGCATGATGGAACCCATCACCGTCTGAAGGGCCGTCATCGTCGTGGGGTTGAGTTCTCGAGGCCAACCCTGAAGTCCAAACAACCTCCGAATGTCCTCCGCGGCCCCGTCCTCCGTTCGTTCACCTTGCCCGGTTTCGCGTGGTGGGTTTCCCCCACAATTTCGATGCAACGGGACCCGCAACATCATTGTGCGCTGAATGGTGTTCAATGTTATGCATGATTCACTCACATGAACCGAAGCCAGCCATGGACAAGAATGGAATTTTCTTCGCAATCAGCTGAACGTCAACAACTTCTTTTTATTGTTCATAGTAAAACTCCATCAACGGCCAATATTTGAAAGCCCAATCCGAACCCAAGATGGGTACCGATATGGGGCAAAAGACTCAAGGAGGCTCATATGATGGAAAATCATAATTTGAGGAGCAGTTCTAGAATTCAATCTTCAGTTGGTCATATGGAATCCAACTGAACAGGAAGAGGAAGATACTCCGAGAAACACTTTAAAGCGCGTAAGGACGTCCTTGGAAAGGCCGGGAGGAGCCGCATAATTTATAGAGGTGGGGCCCCAAACACTACAGTAAATGTCATTCTAAGCGAGCTCCCGTCGGGCAGCAGCAGCGGATGATAATGACAGGAGGGATGAAGAACTTTCAGTTCTGTTGAGCTTCTTTCTTTTCTGTCCTCTTCACTGCCCGTCGTTTTAACATCAAATCGAAAGAAACCTATCAGCTGCCCCCTCATTGGCGGAAAATCAAGGCTGACTGTATGAATTTCGCCGATGGTATCATTCGACATTAAAGAGCAGAAGAGGAGAAGACGCGGGATACGGGATTAGGAAAAGCGCCGAAAAAGCTGACACGGGAAGCTCCTTTTTTCTACACTAGGCTAAGAGTCGCTTCCCCGGCTTTGCCTCTCACAGCCTAGCAGCAGTCTGGAATTCTTCAAGAGAAAGGAGAGGGGGCGTGGTGCAGTTGGAAGCTCTGAATGGAAGGGGGGGGGCCGAAACTCGGGAGGGTGTGCCAGACCGGCGGGGCCATGAACACAAGCGGGCGGGAAGGTCAAAGACAGGGAGGTGTAGCTCTAGCTTCAGGGGATAAAATAAATTTTACGAGGGAGTCGCGTGGGGGGTTGGTTGGCTGGACGCACTTGCCTTCCATGGTCACACAGCGTTGAGTGACAGGCGTACACCACTGTTAATGCAGTCATGGCATTTGGGTGTTGTCTCAGTGACTGTTTCGCGGGGCAGCTAACAAAATTTCCCGGCGGGGGGTAGATGAGGGGGCCAGCTCGAACATGGAAGAATGTGAATTGCATCCCGAACGGGCTACTCTCCGGTCACATTTCTTATTTTTTTTTTTTTTCTACACCACACCTCCTCGACGTTTTTTCAGACATGGGTGTTCATGCTCATTACCTCTCATTCGCGAATTTGGAGAACAGCAGCCGCGTCAATCGTCAATTTGAAAGATGACAAGACAAAAAAAAAAAAAGGAAGTGGCTTGGCTGTCTGTCAAAGGTACAGCATTCATCCGAAGCCCGAGGAGAGAATAAAAGAGAAATACCAGAATGTCCGCCGCCGCTCTCTTGAACAGGTCCGACCTTTCGTCGGTTTCTTCAGATTCCACAATTTCTTTTCGGCATCATCCCATTTTGTCTCTCTTCAATAGTTCATCCAGTCTTACACAGGCCCTCCCTACCTCCAAGAATCAACCACCAAAAGAAGATTCCGAATATCCGTACTTCCTCCTGCGGTTACTTGGAGACAGACACGACACTATTAGAAGCTTGACAAAGCAACCAAGCCAGTTCTCGGACCATAACATAACAAGGCTCTTCGCTGTCAAGACAGACCTCGCTCTTTGGGGTCAACGCGAGTTTCTCAAAGTCTATGACAACACTTCCCGTCTTTAACAGGTTGGTAATCTCTCTCTTTCTCTTGGAGCAAGACTCTTTGGCAACACATGTTCCATGCGGAGGGACTGGACTGCCCAACAAGAAACAGGAAGTGCACATCGCCAGCGGTGTAATCGTCGGTATGTCTCCACGCCCCCGCGTGTACCTGACCTGGCTGTCTGTCCGCTGACCCTGTCAGTCCTGTCCAGTGGCCAGACGAGCAGCTCGGGCTCACTAAACAGAGTAGAGATCTCCGACTCATCTCCAGCAACATTGGGCCTAATTGCGTAGTTCCCATCGCGATCGGCCAGGGCCAAGACAAAACACGTTCAAACCAGGAGAGCCGGATCAATGTCCTGCCCCTCGATTCATTGTTGGTTTTCTTGTTTTGGAAAAATAAAAAATAAAAAGAGTCAAATAAATACCAAGGCTAACCTCTGTGTCTTTTTTTTCCTCACTCAGCTCTGCAAAGAAAGGAAGCCTCGACTCTTTTTCGTGACAACTTCAACCCGAACCGCCAATCCTCCTGGTTGCGTCATTGGTGGATCCCCCTGTCTCGACAACACCACCGTTGCATTCTACAACCTCCCACTAGACATAGTCTGCCGCCTACCCGTTCGACTACTTTGCGCCCCTCGATATAAACTTTTTTTTCTCTCTCTTTGACTCTTCTTCGGAGAAGTTGAAACACCTACACACCTCATCCTTTATACTATATTCTTTAATTTACCGCTGGCAAAATGTCAAGGTTATTGCGAGCAAAGAAGCTGGTGGCCCCGGCTCTCGTGGCCGGTGTCGCTGGTGGCTCCCTCTACTACATGTATAAGCCCCGAAACATCCCCGGTTACGAAGGCCCCGTTGTCCCTCCCCCTATCTTCGGCGCCGACGGCACCTTCAAGCTCCCTCGCTTCCCCCAGGTCAAGTCCCGCGACGAGCAGATTGCCGACCTAAAAAAGAGCAACTCTGGCAACAAGGAGGACGAATATGATGTGCTTGTTATCGGAGCTGGCGCAACCGGTGCCGGCGTGGCTCTCGACGCCGCAACCCGCGGTCTCAAGGTCGCCATTGTCGAGCGAGATGACTTCAGTTCCGGCACGAGCAGCAAGAGCACCAAGCTGGTACACGGTGGCGTGCGCTATCTCGAAAAGGCTGTTTGGAACCTGGACTACGCCCAGTATGAGCTTGTCAAGGAGGCCCTCAAGGAGCGCAAGTACTTCTTGACGACGGCTCCCCATCTGAGCTCGTGGCTACCAATCATGCTGCCGCTCGACAAGTGGTGGAAGGTTCCTTACTACTGGGCGGGCACCAAGTTCTACGATTTCCTGGCTGGTTCCGAGGGCATCGAGAGCTCGTACTTTTTGACCAAGAGCAAGGCCATCGATGCCTTCCCCATGCTCAAGCAGACCGATCTCGTTGGCGCCCTTGTCTACTACGATGGTGCCCACAACGACTCCCGCATGAACGTCTCGATCGGTATGACTGCTGCCCTCTACGGTGCTACTGTTGTGAACCACATGGAGGTCACCAGCCTCCAGAAGGGCGAGAACGGAAAGCTCTGCGGCGCTACCCTCAAGGATGTCATCTCCGAGAGAGACGGCAACGAGGCCACTCCCTTCCCCATCAAGGCCAAGTGCATCATCAACTGCACCGGTCCCTTCACAGACAGCATCCGCAAGATGGACGATCAGGACTGCAAGGAGATTGTCGCTCCTGCCTCCGGTGTCCATGTTATCCTCCCCGGTTACTACAGCCCCGGCAAGATGGGTCTGATCGACCCGTCCACCTCCGACGGCAGAGTCATCTTCTTCCTTCCCTGGCAAGGCAACACCATTGCCGGCACCACCGACGAGCCCGCGACTGTTACCAAGAACCCTCTTCCCGATGAGAAGTCCATCCAGTGGATTCTCAACGAGATCAGCCACTACCTCTCTCCTGACATCAACGTCCGCCGCGGTGACGTCCTGGCTGCCTGGTCCGGCCTCCGCCCTCTCGTCCGCGATCCCAAGGCCAAGAACACCGAGTCTCTCGTCCGCAACCACCTGATCGACATCTCACCCTCCGGCCTCATCACCTGCGCCGGCGGCAAGTGGACCACCTACCGTCAGATGGCTGAGGAGTGCGTCGACGCCGCCGTCAAGGAGTTCAACCTGCCCGTCAAGCCCATCGCCAACCCTCCCCTTGTCAGCGGCACCGAGCACGTCGAAGACGAGGCCGTCCTCGACGGCTCCTGCCAGACGCACTGCGTCCGCCTGATCGGCGCCCACGGCTTCAGCCGCACCCTGTTCATCCACCTGATCCAGCACTTTGGCGTCGAGACCGAGGTCGCCAAGCACTTGACCGAGAGCTACGGCGACCGCGCCTGGACCGTCGCTTCGCTCTGCAAGGCCACCGACAAGCGCTTCCCTGCCAAGGGCGAGCGCATCGCCCAGCTTTACCCCTTTGTCGACGGCGAGATCCGGTACGCCGTCCGCCACGAGTATGCCCAGACGGCCGTGGACGTGCTCGCTCGTCGCACGAGATTGGCGTTCTTGAACGCCCAGGCGGCGCTCGAGGCCCTGCCCAAGGTTATTGATATCATGGCTGATGAGCTCAAGTGGGATGCCAACAGGAAGGAGGTTGAGTGGAAGGAGAGTAAGTTATTACCGTCCCGTCTTTTGTCCCCACCCCCATTGCACATACCCACCCCATTCTCAGTTCATCCCATGTCTTCCCCTACTTCCACTTGTTTGTCCGGATAGAAGCTAACAAATACCTCCCGACAACAGCCGTCGCCTTCCTCGAATCAATGGGCCTCCCTCAACCCATGCTCACCACCACCCGCCAACAAGTCGAGAAGGGCAAGCTGGACTGGTCCAACTCGCTCGAGTGGAAGATGTACTCGCGACACGACAAGCCTCGCGACGAGAAGGAGCGCAACGAGCAGGCTGAGATTGCTGAAGTGGCCGGCACTCATCGTTAATGATGTCGCCCCTCTGCAACTAAGGCAAAGGAAAAAGATGGGATTATAAAAGGAACAGTTGACAGTTGACAATTGGCATACCAGATGCCGGAGAAGATGGATAGAACAGTGACAGAAAGAACCTATATTGCATTGGCGATGGAATGGGTTTTGGCTCAGGCAAGCAGGCAGGCAGGCAGGCACAGTACAGGCGTTTTTTTTTTTTGTTCTAGACTGGACTGGACTTAGCTGGGCTTGGTTTTGCATGAGGTCGTTACGGATGGATGTAGCGATGGTTCTTGTTTATATATAGACTTCTTTTTTCTTGCATTATTTTTTTTGAGTATATGTTTGGATAAATGGCTTTCTCTTTCTCACTGTTGTTTCCAATCAGTGATTTTTGTTGTCTTGATGATCCATCAATGTGTAGCCTTGACGAGTATTGGATACCGTCACAACCAGTACCAATGAGTAGGCAGAAGTAACAATATTCACGACATTCACGATAGCAAATCTATTCATGGTTCGGGGTATCCAAGTCGAGGTTTGATATCATTCCGGAACTTGGCACTTCGCTTTTTGTTCTTCCTTTTCCCCGTTCGCTTTGAAAGAAACACCATTTGCTTCTTTTCTTTCTTGAAAGAATAAATAAATGAATAAAACACCTCTTCTATACAAAAACAACCGAAGCAATCAAAGCTACAACAAAAGTCAAGTAGCCAAGTCTAGGTAGCCAAAACCCTTCCTAAGGTTCCTAAGACATAACAGCAACCCCCGCCGGCCCTACTGCTTCCGTCCTATTCTTATTCCCATCCCCCATCCTCCACGTATGTTCCTGCCTCGTCCCCGGCGGCAGCCATCCCCCGTTTTGGGGCCTGGCCATGCTCGCGCCTCTTTGTCTCCCTCCTGTCGAGGCTGAAGGGTTGGGTCCATCATCTTTCTTGTTGGAGCCGATGTCGGCATTACTGGATGACTGGACTAGTGACGGCATATATCCATACCCGCCTATTTGCGTGTTGAGGGTTGAGGGTTGGTAGATGGAAGAATTAGTTTCGGAGGTGGTTGTTGACTTGGTATTGAGCGGGAGGATGGACTCGTCCATCTTGGAGCGGGAAAGCGAACGCGCGCGCTGATCGGCTTTGTTCTTCTCTTGGCTGCGGTCGTATAGGTACAGTCCCAGAAAGGTGAGGGCGATGCCGACGGCTTGCACGTTAGTCGTCGGCGAGCGGAACCAGATGATGGCGATGCTGATGACGAAGACGCGCTTGAGTAAGGAGGCGACGCTGTAGGTTACTGGGGAAACCATGGAGAGCAAAACGAAGGCGAGGATGTTTTGCCCGAAATGGAAGGTGCCGTTAAAAATGAATTCGACCGTTAACCGGCCATGGTCGAACGAGTTGGGTGTTTTGGTGAGGTCGACAGAGCCGTCCCAGAGGAAGTCGCCTATGATCGAAAAGCCTTCGGACCAGAGCCAGATCGGGCAAGTCAGGATGAAGGCCATGCCCGAGGAGTAGCAGAGCAGGTTGAGCTTGTCGAGCTTCTTGGACCGGTGGCCGTTACTGTGTCCGTCTTCTTGCTCGACTTTGGCGGCTTCATTGAAGAGACGCTTGGAGAAGATGTTTTGGGTGACGAAGATGATGGTGGCTATGAGGGCATAAAGGATGCCAAGGAATTGGCCCTCGCCGAACGAGTGTTTGCCGGAACAGGCGAGCATGACGCCGATTGTCAAGGGTACGAGGGAGTAGTAGGTTGCGCGCGGGTAGCGGATGTCGAAGATCAACCGGTAGGCGAGCACGGTGAATAAGGGGGATAGACCCTTGATTGTGTGGACGAGCGAGACGGGGATCTTGGAGGTCGCGGACGAAGAGAGGAGGTGGCCGAAGATTTGGAAGGCCGCCAGAGGAAGTGTAGTGACGATGACATCGCGCGAGGGCTTGCGGATTGGGTGTTTGAGTGCGGGCACGGCAGTGCGCAGCTTGGGAAACGTCGAGGCCAGCGAGGAGGCTATGAGGCAGTAGGAGCAGACAAAGGCGAACTGGATTAGCGTGAGGGTCGCGGGTTTGTCGAAGGTCGTGAGGATCGATTTCGAAGATGTGTTGGTCAGCGCCGAGGACCAGTACCACATCATACAGAGCCCCTATGGAGAAGAGGTGAGGTTAGCTTGGGACCGAACTATGACAAGAAGTAAAGATAGATGTCCATACTATTAGCTTGTAGGATACTGGCGCGCGAAGTGCCTCCGCAATCTCGTGGGCATTCTGGCTCATACTCCCCGAGCGCATCCTATGTATCGCATTGCTAATGCTCCTTTGCCTAGAATGACCATGGCCATGCGAGTAGGCGTTTGCGGGCCCTGGGGGGTCTCTTGGAGCCCACGTCACCTTGCTTTCCCTTCTCGGCCGCCATTGATCCGAGGGCGCAGTAGCACCTGCATTTATATACCGGCCGTTACCGTTAGGGTAGCCGTTTATTGTTTGTGATGTATCGAATTCGGGGAACTTTTCTGTGGTATCTGGGGCCGCGCTGGTGTCGACATGGTGTTGTCGGAGGTTTGGGGAAGCTCTCAAGGACGAGCCAGTCGAAGCTGTGTATTGCGCCATGGCAATCGTTCAATTGCGCGTTGGCGATGTCTGAAGAGACAGAGAAGGTGGTAAATGTGGTGGTTCGTCCCGATGTTCGAAGGGGGGTTTGCGATGATGGAAAGCCGCCGGCGGGGAGTTGAGTTCCGTTCCTGACTTAGATGTTTCGCGCTGCTGGAGTCTAGCACAGGATGACGCTGATCATGGCCAATTCGGATCTGCCTCGAAGAATTGTTGGGAATGGCGAGTACCTAGAGTACGAGTAGTGTAGGTAGGGTATGGACAGCTAGTATGGTGTACAGAGATTATCGTGTAACCTGGAAAGCACAAAAGAAAAGTATTATGATTATGGCAGATGGTGTTGCAAGAGTCCCCAGACCCAAACCGCACTTTCTGTAACATTTCCCCTTGGTCAGATGCGATCCAGGCGCTCACTGATAAGAACCGTCCTCGTTCCTTGGCGCTCCAATCCCGGCTTGGAATGCTTCCACGGGCAAGGAGAACCCCTACGAGCCGCTAGTGTCAGGGGAGAGGTCAGGGGTCGAGCAACTGGTGGGCACTTGGCGGCACTTGCATCATCAACGGTGCAAAGCTGGCTGCGCCACCTCTGGTGTCTGTTCAGCCTCAAAGTCTGGGCATTGAAGTCACCACTAGCAAGCCACACTGTTCCAGGCCGCCGCTGCGTTGCAGCGCTGGAGCTCGAAACTTTTGGAGCAACGCGCATTCGCGCCGCCTTGCAGCGAGTGTACTTCGAGAACCGGTCCACTTCTTGCTATCGTCCACTTGCTACTATCACCATATCCTCGTCACTATCATTTGTCAAATCGAATACGACCAAGACAACGGCCTCCGTACATTAACAACCTTAATTCCAGTTTTGGATTCATCGGAAAAACAACACACCACTTAGACACACACGAGAGCATCCAGCTCTCAACCGCCGGTCAAGATGGCGGCCACCAAGATGACCAAGAACCAAATGCGCCGGGCCAAGAAGAAGGAACAGAAGAAGGCCCAGGCTGAGGTACGTGTTGGTATCTATTACCTATTATGCCCACTTGCTAACATGATACAGGATGGCACCAAGGCTCCCGAAACCGAAACCACGAACGGCGAGGCGACAACAGACGTCAAGGACAAGACTGCCAACGAAGACACATCCGCGAAGAACGAGACCACAACAGCAGATTCCGAGGTCAAGAAGGAAGATTCACCCCAGAAGGTTGAGGTCGATGGTTCTGTCGATGATAAAGTCGATGTCGAACTTTCCGCTTTCGACGAGGACCCCGCTTTCGCCGCCTACAAGAACATCTTCGATAAGTTTGGTATGAGCCTGGACGAGGACGATGTGGCAAGGGAAGCAAATGCGGGCAACAAAGGTGAAGTCTTTTTCGACCAAGACGATGAAATTCCCAGCGAGGAGGAGGATGCAGGAAAACTGTCCAAGAAGAAGCGCAAGAAGCTGAACAAGCTTTCCATTGCGGAGCTGAAGGCGTTGGTCAAGAACCCAGAGGTTGTCGAATGGCAAGATGTTTCATCACCAGATCCCCGCTTGCTTGTTCAGATCAAAGCCCAGAGGAACATCGTTCCCGTGCCCAGCCATTGGTCACTCAAGCGAGAGTATCTTTCCAGCAAACGTGGTGTCGAAAAGCCGCCCTTCAAGCTACCAAAGTTCATCGCCGAGACCGGCATTACAGAGATGCGCGATGCCGTCCTCGAGAAGCAAGCGGAGCAGACTCTCAAGCAGAAGCAGCGCGAGCGTGTGCAACCGAAGATGGGCAAGCTCGACATCGACTACCAAAAGCTCTACGATGCCTTCTTCCGCCACCAAACAAAACCAGACCTCACCCGTTTTGGCGACGTCTATTATGAAGGCAAGGAGTGGGAGGCGGATTACAAGGTATTTCGAGCCGGCGAGGTTAGCGATGCGTTAAGGGAAGCACTAGGCATGCAGCCCGGCTTCCCTCCCCCATGGCTTCTCCAGCAACAGCGTGTCGGTCCTCCCCCATCCTACCCCACCCTCAAGATTCCCGGCCTCAACGCCCCGCTACCGCCGGGCGCCTCATGGGGCTTCCAACCCGGACAGTGGGGCAAGCCGCCTCTGGACGAGTACAACCGTCCTCTATACGGCGGTGACATCTTCGGCATCATGGCCCCCGGTCAACAAGGCGCTGCCGCCCCCTTCCAACACCCCAGTTCCAAGCACCCGCGGCCACTGCTGTCGGTGGCGAGCCCGTCGAGCGCACACTTTGGGGCGAGCTCCAGCCTCCCGCCGAGGAATCAGAAGAAGAAGAGTCCGACGAGGAGGACGAAGACGAGGAAGAGGAAGAGGACGGCGACATTCCGCCCGGCGGCACTGAGACCTCCATCAGCCAGTTCGACGCCGGACATCCCTCCGGCTACGCCAGCAGCATGCACCCTGGTGGCGAGCCCGTCGAGAGCAGCATGGCGGGCGAGTTCGACCTGCGCAAGACACGGCGTGGCTACGAGACGGAGGAGTCCGCTGCGCCGAGGTCTGCGTACCAGGTTATTCCCGAAAGGCAGAGACGCGCCGAAGGTTTCTTCGGTTCCGACAAGACGTACGAATTGGCGTCTGGCAGGCCGGGTGGTGGACCTGGACCTGCTGTGCCCGTACTTGGGAGAGATGATGACGATAGTCGCAAGAGGAAGAAGCCCGGTGATGTCGAGGTAGCACTCGATCCAGATCTCCTGGCGGCACAGGCCGGGCTGAGTAAGGAGGAGTTGAGAAAGAGGTATGAGGCTGGCAGGAAAGAGGAGGGACCGGGTGCTCAGTGGGCGAGCAATTATGATGAGGATTTGAGCGACATGATTGCGCAGGAGAGTAGGAAGAGACAGAAGAGAGAGGAGGAGAGGAGAGAGGAGAGAAAGGGCGGCAGGAGGTAAAGGCCTCTTAGGTGTTGAAAGAGAAGGTTGTAATTTGCAAACAAATTGTTCAAAGTTGGGCGTTGGAAGGTGAAGGGTCTTCATAATGAACTGCATAACATAACATAGGGGATAAAAGTAGTGTGATAGTTTCAAAGACTACGTGCATCCTAGACTGAAAAAGATCATGTCCATTAAGATTCAAATTCCTCGTTACGTTCTATGACAGCTTCTGGTCCGTGAAGGTTGACGCTTGTGATACTAGGCTTCCACGAACAGAACCACATCCAAGACACTCGACCACAGCTGGGCAAAGCACTCCTCAATCATTTACAGATTTTCAAGACCGCTACAGCTAAATCACCTTATCTTTTCGGGTCCTACCTGAAACCCCGCCCAATACGATACAATCGAGAGGCGCGTTGGCCTGCTAACGTCCGCTCGCCTGCTGTGCTGGTTGGAAGATACTTTAGCATTCTGTGCTAGGTATGAGGCATGCATCTCCTGAGAACAACAGTCTTCCTCATTTCACATTCCCTGCAAGGTGGTCATAAACTACCAGTGGGAAGGGGAACTAGAACTAGAACTGGCCAACAAGACACGCCCGAGGGGCAATATGTTATGCATGTAAACCCGTTTAGAAGACTAATTTCAGCCGTTACAACAGCGTCCAAATGAGGACGAAAACATATATGACAACACTGCATAACCCTTAATTTCTTTGAAGTGTTTTATAAATGCTTAGCAGGGGGATTACCGATATTCCTCGTATGAACCACGAGTGAAAAACAAACCGACGACGGGATGTGACCACTCTTGTTATCCAGGGAAGAGAAAACTAATGTAGATATCGCCGAGTGTCATGTCATGCCCAATCAAGTCCTCTATCTCATCTCATTTGGCAGGCAAAGCAGACCATCGATAGAATTGTGTTTATCCCGAAGCTCTGCCAGGCCAACATATCGGTGTAAGGAGATGCCGGGCAATTCTATGGGACTTCATTGTTTTTTTTTTCCCTGAGTTGCCATGCAGGTGTTTTTTCGTCTTTCCATGGTTCAATATACGGACAACCTAATCTTCAAGCACCGGACGGACCTATGAAGCGGCAACGAGGTAGCGATTATCCAAGCTTCTACCTAATCGCAAGACGAACTCCCTTTTATCGCTATTCCTGTGATGTCTTGTCCATCGTGATATTTCCTTCACTTCCGGTCGGTGGTCGCCCTATCCTTCCTTCCTCCCCTCAGATTCCATGCGCCCACTCGCACGTAGAGGTATGTTGTAGCACTTCCCACACCTTCCTTCCCCTTCCCCTTCGCCTTCACCTCAGCTCTTCACCAGCAGTACCTTAGGTTTATAAGCCCTTCTTCCAGCCCCTCCTTCCACCACCAAAGACAAGCCCCCGTGCCCAGCACCAGCTGCCAGCTGTCAGGATAGCGCAGCGGTCTCAACCACCACTGCGAAACCTAAGCAACACTCGCTCAGTTCGAAACAAACTCGAAGCACGGATTTTTCAGACATTTCTGAACAGACATCGCTCAGCGAGGCGATGCCCTTATAGGGGAACGTCCCGAGCACAAGACGTAACGAGCTTCACCAATATGGTAGTTCGAACAAATACATATGAGGGTATGAGGGTTCACAACCAAAAGATCTCACTTTCAAAATCTTTGTGGGAAACGCGATATTCTTCGACCTTTTCAGATAGAAGCTGGCTGGCATCTGGGATCGAGGCAGAGCAGCAGCTAGTGAAAGCTGGAAGGGGATAATATTGGAGGTGGGATCGTTTGATGGGAGGGTAGAGGGGACTTGGGGGGAAGAATAGGGGTCGCGTTCCCCCCGGCGCTGGGCTATGGGGTTTGTCTTTCCTGTGTGCCGGCTGTCGTCGGTACACCAAAAAAAAAAAAAATTTAAATTTTTTTTGATCTGTTTGTTGATATTGTATGAACTTGGGAAATCCAAAACTGAGGGTTCGGTTCGGCAACGCAAGGGTTGGAAAATCTGCCATTTGCGTTTGGCTGTATGTACCGGTACGCGGTTGTCGAACGCAACTGGCATACCTTTAACCCTGCATGTTGATTCCGGATTTCACGAGATTGTACGGTACCGGTAATCCCTATGACTCTTCAGTACGCATTTATACCCTAGACGTGTCTGTTCCACGTGGTTGTACGCACCAGAAGTCTTGGTTTTAAACACCTTGAGCCGTTGCTTACCTTTACCCCAAACAAACACATCAACGGATACACCAACGGGTACATATCCCGTCTGGTCATTTGATGGGAAGGCCCATGTCGTCAAGTCGGATACTGCACCCGATGCTATTCCCCAATTTGTCCTCTCCGCATATAGATACCGTTGTTGAAAACTTCTATCGGAACCGATCCCGGCTCCGGGGCCGATTTGAAAAGCTCGATGCCGACCATGGGCATTTAAACCCTGACGTCCGGTCCGAAGGGTTACTCGAACCTACCGTGCCCTAGTATAGGAACAACTTAAATTGCTATACTTAATCGCGGTGCTATTTATGGTCGCCTTAATAGTGAGCCCACGTAAGCCGCTCATTGATTGTCTGCCCTTTTCCATCTCTTTTTCGGGCGAACAAACACGTTGCCAAACATTCTTTGTTTCGTCCTTGTCGTTTATCCTTGACTTGCCTTCTTCCTTGTCTTGGTCATTATCCGTGTTCCCTCCTGGTTTTCTATTCTTCTTCGCGTCTCGGCTCCTTGCCTTTCCCTGTCCTCCCTTTCTCCCGATGGAAGTGTCAGGGTTATGGTCATGGTCATGGGCAGAGGAAGCAGTACCCGAGTTTGCTCATCCGTTGCTCACCCGTTGCTCACCCGACCCTTGACCCCCCTTGACAACCTACCCTTTGCGGACAAACCTGGGCCAACCCATGAACGGAACCGCCGACATGGGACGATGCCGCTGAAGTTGTTAATGTACCTCACACATGATGTCGCCGATGCCCGAATGTTTGTTTGTCTTTGATTGGGACCCTGGCGAATACCGTCAGCACGGAGCCGCGCTGACATGGGCGTTAACATGGGCGTTAACAAGAGGGCCAGTTTTCTCAGGTTGAAGGAAGCAGTACCCGATCCTGGACCAGACCAGGACACGTGTTGTCGGACTCTGCGCCGGAGACTTTTACCGGACCCGATCGGTTATGGTGTCACCTCGATATTTTTGCTTGCTTGCCTTGCTTGCTTGGGTCCGATGATGATGGCAGAACCTCTGTCACGGGATATGTATGGGATTAATTGTTGGAATTGATTCTGTGCGGAAGTGAGTGCTGATGAGTTTTGGATTGGGAAGGAGCATGTTGAGGGAAATGAAATTTTCTGCTCGAAATTGGAAAGCGTCAATAACTTGGTCATAGTGAGGAAGGAGCGATGCATACCTTGATGTTTCACTCCTGCAAGTGTCCGCGAGGACTCGTCCACCAATTGCGATGCCAAGTTTCCAGGAAGAACAGACAATCACGACAATCAAGAGCTTGGAAAGATGTAATGAGGTGGCGTAAAATGTATGTTGAATCTTGATGCTCAACTACTTCATTGTGATCTTCAGCCATTGTATGAATGACTTCCCCTGTAAAAAAACGCCTGCCAACCGACCTAACCGCCCACCGGTTTTAACCACCTCCCATTCTTTCGTATCAAAGAGTACAGTTACACTTTCAAAAAAAAAAAAAAGAGAGTCAAGACATAAGGACATGAACGAAAGTTATGTATGATGATGAAGCCGCCTGCCTAAACCCCGCCACCATGAATGACCACCGATCCGATCCGAATCCGATCCATCCCGCCGAAAATGCTTTGCTTTGCTCCCCTTTAACACCCCTTTCCCCCTATTAACCGTTTGTGCTATAATAGAGTGTAAAAAAAGTTTGTAAAACAGAAAAGACAAAAAGCCGTTGACGTATATTGAGTGTATAAGTCATGTGCATCGTCATCCCGTTTGCGGCATCTCCCATGAATGTGCTTTCATTTCCGAAATCCTTTGCGTGAGCAAAGTTCCTCCACACACCAAGTCTATTGTATGTTGTAAAGACGCTAGGAAAAAGAAAAACGCAAAAGCCAAACGATAGATGGGTATATTGTTGAAAAACGCAGACCGAAAACAGACAAGTAGGAAATATGGTTTTAAAGCGAGAGGTGCTTTTTTAGGCCTTGGACGTAAGAGTGGTGGTTGCCGTGGCAGCACCCTCTGCCCTCGGAGCATGAGCGAACATGCGGTGGAAGAGATTGCGACGCTCTCCGCCAGCACGACGGTAGGTCAGCTTGGCAAGGGTAGCTTCGTCGAATCCAAAGTTCTCCAGGCAGATCTGCTCATCATCGGCTTCCAACTTCTCGCCGCCGTAGGCAGCTTCCCAGCCGTAAGGATCCACGGTGGGAGGCTTAAGATACTGACCTTGAGAGCGATCGATGGCGAGGAACTTGGAGTGTAGGTTTGAGGCCGAGACAGTGCGGAGCGGGCTGCTGGTAGCGGGCTTGTTGACAGCCGACTTGTCACTGGTGACTCTGGGGTTGCTCGAAGCTGTCCTTCTAACTCTGGGGCGAGTAAATCGCCTTGCGACGCCTTCGGGCGTCGTCTTGATGTATGGCGCATGGCCTTTTGCGGCCATGCCATCCTTGTGAAGCCTCCCCTCATGGCCAGCATCTTGAACTGCGTTGTTATTACCGGCCATTGGCGACGGAATATGCTCAATATGCTGACCGGGGGTGGACTCTTCCCATTGGCCCAGAAGTGGGAATTCCAACTTGACATCTGCTACATCCTCCATCGACTCGTCCGTGTCGGTGGACTCACCCGAGGCGGTAGGATAGAGGCAGGGGGAAGAGGGGGCTCCATCAAGAGCTGGCATGACCTGTGACCCCTATAAGGGGTTGCTGGTGCTCTGTCTGGCATCAGGCAAACCAATTTCGTACCCATATCCAGGGGAAGGGACGCTAGTGGTCTGAGAGCGCTTACTACGGCTCTTCTTTCCCAAACCAAGCTTAGCGCCCATCTTCTTCCAA